TCTTCACTTCAAAGGCATCACTGAGCTTCCCATTGTGGATTACTTGGCACGTGGCATCTTCATATAGTTGTTGAATGAGGCGGATAAAGGTTTGCGGTACTCCGTAGTATTGAAGCAGTTTCCAAATTACCTGTCGGTCGACGCTGTCAAAGGCCTTCTCAAAGTCGATGAAGTTGAGGTGAGGTAGAGAGCTGATTGCCATTCTATGCTCTGTTCTATGATGATACGAAGCGTCGCAATTTGGTCTGCACATGATTTGTACTTCCTGAAGCCTGCCTGTTCCGGTCGTAGTTTTGAATCCAGTGCATCCCTTAGCCTCTCCAGGATGATGCGGCTTAATATTTTACTTGCTCTGGGTGGACAGGAGAGTGATTCCGCGCCAGTTCTTGCAAGCACTGAGGTCTCCCTTCTTCGGCAGTTTGACAAGGTAACCCTTCTTCCAATCGTCAGGTACCTTCTCTTCCTTCCACACCTTCTGCAATAGTGGTGTGAGCATGGCCGCTGTTGTCTCTGCATCTGTTCTCAGTGCTTCTGGCGGTATTCCATCTGGTCCTGCTGCTTTCCCACATTTCAGTAGCTTTATGGCTTTCAGGACTTACATTTTCGTTGGGGGATTTATGTTCACTTGTAGTTCAGCGGCTGCAGGTGGTATTTCTGGACGAAGTGCAGGTGGTGGTCGATTCAAGAGCTTCTTGAAGTGGTCGGCCCATCGTTTCCTCTGTTTCTCTTCTTTTGTAATTAAATTTCCTTCTTCATCTTTTATTGGTTTCATCTGTGTTGGTCTCTTCCCTGATAGCAACCTGGTTATTTGATACAATGTCGTCAGGTCTCTCTTACCTGCAGCCTGTTCTGCTTCACTTGCCAGTGTTTCGTAGAAGTGTCTTTTGTCTTTGCGTGCACTCTTCTTCACTTCTTTGTCCAGTGTTTTATACATTGTGCTCAGTTCCTCTTGTCGTTGAGCATCCTTGCACTGGTTTATCTTCTGCTTCACCATCCTCCTCTCCTCTATCAGCTTCCAGGTATCCGTCGAGATCCATTCCTTGTCTTCTTTCTTCTTCCTTCCTAATACTGTTGTGCAGGTTTCTTTCCACATAGCTTTCAAAGACTTCCAATGTTCTTCCACACAGGTTTCTTCAGGGATGTTCCTCGATGTCTCCCATTTTGTCTTGATGGCTGCCTTGAAGATCTCCTTTGTGGTTTCATCCTTCAGTTTCCGAGTGTTGTACTTGGGTTGACGTCTATCACCAGCTTCCTTGAAGGCTTTTAACTTGATTTGGAAGGTTCCTTGCACCAGATGGTGAGTGGTCTGAACCTACATCTGCTCCTCTTCTTGACCTTGTGTTAAGTAGACTGCGTCTCCATTTTCTTGAGATTGAGATAAAGTCGATTTGATTTTTAGTGTGTCCATCTGGTGAAATCCATGTCGCTCGCTTTGTGGATATCTTTGTGCCTGAACACACTGCCTCCAATCACCAAATCGTTGAATGCGCAGAATTCTGCAAACAATTCTCCATTCTCATTCATTTCACCTAGTGCCTCTCGACCCATGGTTAGTTCTCTTCCCGTGTTGTCCCCTCCCAGTTTGGCATTCATGTCGCCCATCAGAATCTTGATATCGCCAACTGACGTCTTGTCCAGTGTTGATTGAAGTTGTCTGTAGAAATCCTCCTTTTTCTCTTGCTCTGCATTATTTGTAGGTGCATAACATTGTATGATTGTGACCTTTCTTCCTTTTGAGTTGAATCTTGCTGTCATGATCCTGGAGGAGATTGGTTCCCACTGCAAGAGAGGGAGCCTTCGATGCTCTTGAGGACATCATGATAGCCACTCGAAACTCAGTGTGCTCGTGGTTGGCGTCTGGGTGACAATATCGGAGTAGATTATTGATTCTCCAGTTGACAGTTTGGAGAGTCCACTCCCATTCCATCTGCTTTCGCAAATCCCAAGCACTTCGATGTGATACCTTCTCATCTCCTTTGCAATCTGGGCTGCCTTACTGGGTTCAAACATGGTGCGGACATTCCATGTCCCCACGTTTACTTTCGCTTTCATCGAGAGAAGACACATCGGCCAATTGGCTTCCCGAAGGCTTTCACCAACTGGCGTCATTTCGCCTCTCCGATTCCAGCGGGGAATAAGTTTGTTTTCATTTTTTATATTTTGTTTGTGCTTTGAAGTTTGTTTAGCGGTTAGATTTGTTTTACGGGGTAGGGTTGCTAGCCCTATGTTCAACCTTCCCTCTTTACCCGGGCTTAGGACCGGCTAGTAACTAGTAAACTAGTTAACCAGGCGAGGTTTTCGATAGAATAAAGTATGCTAATATGAGACATGGTAGGCAGTCCATTGTGACTCCATCCACTTGTTTATATAGTTCACCGTTTAATATAAAGTTAACATTCTTCGTACATTTGAGCAGTAATTCTTTGAGGATATCTATCGGGATTTCAACACCGATGGACCTTTCTTCCAATTTTCCACCTTTATCGTTAAAGATTAGTGATTTCTTGACTTTGAAGTATCCTGATAACTACTGCACTTTCAGAGTGTATGCAGCAGCTGAAGAGTATTCGTGAAATAAGACGATGATATCATCTGATTCTGCTAATCCAGTTCTTCCTGTTTTGAAACAAATTCATCAAAGGGATGCAAATACATAAAATAACACTCTTGTGTTCAAGAGCAGAATAAAAGGCTTGTAAAAAAACTGCTACTTTAGCCACCATAAAGCTGGTGACTACCCACAATATTTTTGAACACAAATGTCATGTTTAAAGTTGTGAACTACAAATAATTCGACTATGTAGAGATGGCACAACGGAAGGCTCTTGGAATTGTAGAAGAGTACTGTGTAAACTACTTTGGAGGAATTACTTTGAGAGGCCAAATATCCGGAGATGGCAAGGTGTTGATATTTTTCCACTCCTGTGGATAACTAAGCATGACAGTAGTCCAAAATATACTCACGCACTTGCTGCCGTGTACGGTCTAATTACTTTACTACACAGGGACAACTAAAATGATAGATGAATATTGAGATGGCTAACATTAGTACTTTGTCTTTAATACGTTGGTGGATTAACTATATGCTGGAAAATCTGATTCTCAGGCTAGCTGCATGAAATATCTTCCTCAAATATCTTGAGAGGTAATTTTTAAGGATTTCAGCTGAAATGTGGCCTTTGAATTTCAGATTCATTTAAGGAGTTTCCTTTGAGATGATCGGTATCCTTTTTTTCATGTTACAGTCCAGAAACCTGGGTGGATTACAGTTTTAATTTTTGGATGTCACGTTGAAACAGTGGCTCAATATGTAGTGTATCTTCAGAGCAGATCTCGCAAATCCTTGAACATAACGAACGCAAATGTTTCTGTTTGCTGATTCGGTGGATATAACTTAGAAAGTTGATTAACTTTTAAGTTTATTTTGGTTTTCCGTACGCTGATCTATAGATAGGACTATACGACCTTTTTGTTACTTACTCCTCCAGGAGTGAGAATATCGGACTTTTTCGCACTCTGTATTCGTGTTTATACATGTATGTACACCAGAGAACGTCCTAAGGAGGTTGTTGAAGTCAAATTCTTTGTCGAATGCAACAAAATTCTCATGAATGTATCCTTTATAAGAACATTGTTGGATGAATAATGAGCTAAGAAAGCCATTTTCAAATAAAGACATAAAACAATCAGCTAATAGTGAACCAGCAGAGGACCACGTCACTACATCACCTTCCTGCACATAGAATTCTTCATTAAACTTAAAGTGTACGTTGAAGGTATATCTGAGAAGGAGTTCTTGAACGTAATTGAGAGGTATGGCGAATTTCTATGTTTTTGGACCAAATGTAGTCACATATGAAGTAGACAGTATCAACTTAGGGTATGTTTGTAAAGAGAGAAGTGACATCCAAAAAGAAGATTTGTTTCTTAAGCACACTGACATTTTCCACCCATTCAATGTAGTCAGAGGTGTTCCTGAGGCTCTATTTTGCTGTATGCACCCTTACTGATTCGAGAATATTAGGTAATTATTTATTAATCGAATGATATGGAGAATTAGTCATGTATGCTACTAGTACTGTAATGGGTTTGATCTTCTCAACAACAAATTACTCAGAAGTTACTGAGTTTAGTTTCTATTCTCCGACTCATTTATTTGATGATAAAGAGTAACAATTCTCCGAAACAGTCTTCAGTGTGTATACTTTTTCAGCTGTTGTTTGGATTCCTTTCTCAACGCTTGTGAGTTCCTTTGATGATTTCAACATGATTTTCTTTCGTCACAGTATTAGTGATGGTTTAACATCCATGAGAGGAAAACAAATCCACACTAAAAATCGTAAATTTTCATCTTCTATGACTGTAGAAGCTCGTGTCGTATAAACAATGGAATCGAAATTATGTGTACACAAAAAGCTTGTTGTTATCCTGGGTCTAGTTCATAGCTATAGATGTCAGTCACCTCTTTTGTGCACTATTTTTCATCTAACATCATATTTGTGATATTCTGATATCATTTAGATGAATTATAATCTTCATTCATCCTTGTATTTGTTACTGTCCATTATCGTGGGACAGAATTAGCAGTTATATAGTTGTAGAGAATGAAGTCATTGAGAAAGATATCTGCACTGAATGTCTTGTTTTTTTCTAACGTCTTAGTGGGGTTTTTTTTTCAGTTATTCAATAAGTCTCAGTCTGTTAATTCTAGGATTATTTGTTTATTATCATTTCTGGATGGGTTGTTCAACGCTTGGAGTGTGTAAACTGCTTATATTTCCAAGACAATGAATGAATAGTCATTACTACTTTGGTTCCATGAAGAGTCACCTGTGTTGAAATGACCAACATCAAAGTGAATATGTGAATCAAAAGAATGTGAATACATCTCTGTATATGTTAGATTGCAGTAAATTTTGGCTAAGCAAAACGATAACATTATAATTAGAATGCATGAGCAACTTCACTATTTTCATAATGCTTTGACCTCATACACTTACCGGGCATTCTCTTCATATTCATCTTTATTTGCAACATCATCTGACCTCTGACCTAATTCAGCGATTATAATAGATAAAACGAGTGCAGCAGCAATAGGTTCCTATGAAAAGTAGAAGAGGTGTGACTTATACATTTCATGCGAAGAAGGAAGGTCATTTGTTACAATAATGAAAAAAGCCTAGAATATTTGGATTTCGCCAATGATGATTTATGTCTGATGTCGCACAAGCTCGAAGATCTACAGGTAGAAACCAACAAATTGACAGAGGAAGGATAGGACTTCCTTCAGGTGAACTTGGAGAAGACAGAGGTGATGAAGATAATCAATCAATAACAGCATCAACATCAAGTATCGATCACCATCAACGGACGAAATCTAAATGAAGTTGTCTCTCTCACCTACCTAGGCAAAGCAGAATCATTGCAACTGCAGGCAATAGTGGCACAGATGAGGACGTCAAAGCCAGGATCGAAAAGAGAGCAAAACAGGCCTTTCTCTATTCATCCGAAATCAGTATGGAGATCTACTCCACTGCACTGCACTTCACTCAGCATAAAGCGTGAACAAGATTTGGATTTTCAATACTAATGTCAGTCAAGTGAGTCAGTTCTTCTGTGTGATGGTTCAGAAACTTTGCATGTCACGAAAAGCATTTTCAACAAACTACAGACATTCATCAACAGCTGCCTACGCTGGCTCGATACTGAAGATCAGATCAGATGGCCAGAATAATAAGAGTAAGCAAGGAGGAATTCTGGCTGGCTGACTGGTAATAAATCAACCATGAACCCATCGCCCAACATACATGCAGAATACGAAAGTGTGGATGGATTCGATTGGACAATCACTGAGAAGGCCGATTGGGGACATCACGTGCCAGGCCATATCAGGCCGTCGAGCGGAATCCAAAGGGGAAACGACAAGTTAGGTGTCTGTACCGAGGGTGATATGGAGGAGATCATATGAGGAAGAAATGAAAGCTTATGGGCAATTGTGGTGCCAGGTTGAAAAGACTGCAGAGAACAGAGTGCAGTGGTGGCGTGCTACTGAAGCCGTATGTTCCACTAGGAACCCAAGGGAAAAATAGTAATAATAATACTAGCTAATGAAAAATCTATAAAAGACAGTTGAGTAAAGAAATTTTTTTTTTCGATTAACCATTTTCAAAAACTGTACATTGTTATCATAGTTACAACAATATATATATATATATATATATATATATATATATATATATATATATCAAAAGTTAATGGATTATCAAAAACGGTCAATAAAGTCACAAGGTGATAACGTGAAAAAGGTCAACTCAAGGTCATCAAAAACTGCTGATAAGGTTGTTGTAAATAAACACAGAAATGAATGGACTTTCTTAGAGAGATTACTACCAAACCAAAATTGAAAACTGAACAAAAAGATCAAGCTTGTATCACTGAATTGTCAAAGTCGCCGCTGTGTTAAGGTGGCAGATACGCACTCGCTTCAAAATGCTTGCTCTCACTACATAAATGACTTGGAAAGAAGATTTTTGTGGATCACAGTGACCAAAGTTAAACAAATGCTGAAGAATCGGGCTGTTGATGGCTTTACATTGTCTTTTAGACAGCCACGCAGGATAGTGTTCGGAGATGTGTTAAGATATAACATGCTGTGTGCGGCCTATGCAACCACCTTCACAAGAGCAAGTGAAGTGATAAACATACACGGATGTGGGCCAAAATGGTAGCTTATCCTTTACACACCCTGTAATCAGTTGTTGATTGGATAAAACACATCAGAAGCCTTGTCAATCCAATGGTACAAGTTTGATCTTTGTGTTCAAAAGAGATACATTCAATCTGTAAATTTGCCATGGTCGTAATCTCCCTAAGACAGTCCATTCATTTCCGTGTTTATTCATTATGTTCCTATAAGCAATGTTTGATGACTTTGAGATGACCTTCTAGCGTTTATCGCCTTATGACTTTATTAACCTTTTTTATGACTTTTGACCAGCTGGGTATTGATGAATATACATTTTGCTGTAGCTACGATTATAAAGTACAGTTTTCGAAAACGGTTAGTCGGAAAGAAAACTTTCTTCTCGGATTTTCCATTAATTAAAATATTATTAGTTTAAAACTATCATGTTGCTGGCAGTTATTTTCAATTTTCCATAATAAGGTTCATATGTAACCGTCACTACTTATCACTTTCATATTACTCTGTTCGAGTAGATGATGATAAAGCGTTTGAAATTATGAGTGCAAGGGCCCAGTGGCATCACGAGAGCCATCATCTACTGGGATGAGGATAAATCCAGCTGATGAGTCTCAAATAGGGTGAAACGCTAGTCTTGAAATAGCATAACACTTTAGTCCTGCAGGGCACCAAGTAAATGCAGTTTTGAAAATCTCTGTTATTTAGGCCTGAAATAAATCCCATACTTTGGAAACTTTTCAGTAGTGAATACAATTCTAAGGGTGCACCTTGGATACTGAGGTAGAATACAATTCTGTATTAAATCTGTTTACCTAGAAAAGAACAGTAGCTTGTTGAAAAGGCAACTTTGGTTATCATTTACTGATGAGAAGTTATCTTGTTTGTTGTCTTATCTTCTGAACAGTACCAAACAAATTACTGTAAAATGCCAAACATTGCATATAATTGTCATTGACGAAAAATGGTCAGATCTGGCGGCGAACACATTATCATTCAACCACTCGGTCAGAATCCAATGACGATTCACATTTTTATATATCTGTCAATTCTCAATATGGTGTGATCTATGTCAGGTCCAAGGGTGCTAAAGTTCTAAAATGGAAAGAAAAAGCTCCCCACTGTTTTCAGGTTTTCAATGGTCCTCTAAATAATGTCATTCAGTAATGACATTCAGATTGTATGAACTCTTTTTTAAAAAGGTTTTTTCTCAAATGGATTATCGCTCTCCTTTCTAGTGTCAATGTTTTATGATTTTCCATTCTTTTAGGTGTAGGTTTTTACCATTCAAGAAATCCTTCTTGTTCATTAGTACTACCTCATTACCTGTATCCCAATAACCAACATTCAGATTGCTAATAGTCTACAGCAGTTTTGCTCATCGCCCCAACTTTCCTTATCCTATTTGGTTAGTTTACTCAAACACCGAAGTTTATTTTCAATGATATCTTATACTAACTGACTAGTGGTTCTAGGGCTGCTTACAGCTGAGGAGAAGTCACAAGATAAACAAACATGAGTTCAGTGCATTCCAAAAATCTTATTCTTCTTGTGTGAATGAAAGTATCTAGATGTATGGAAGGTGGAATTTATCAAAATCATCCATATAATTTCACTGAGATCTTTATGATGAATTTCTAATATTTCATTCCATAAGTGATTGTCAACCAAAAGGAGGATAGTTTTAAATTCTTAAATCATTACACCAGACTTTGGTGGAGTAGTCATATGGTTAGTGGCGAGGACTTCAAAGCCAGGATCGGAAAAGCAAGTCTGGTGTTCATTAACCTGAAACCAGCGTAGAGATCTTCTGCACTGCACTCAGCATAAAGCGTGAACAAGATCTGGATTTTTAACACCAACATCAAGTCAGTGCTTCTATATGGTTCAGAAAACTGGCACTTTCCGAAAAGGATTTCCAACAAACTACAGACGTTCATCAACAACTGCATACGCTGGCTCGTTACTGAAGCTCAGATGACCAGAAAGAATCAGCAACAAGGAACTGTGGGGACGAACCAACCAAGAAGCTATCGCTGAACAAATATGCAGAAGGAAGTGGAGATGGATTGTATTGGACATACACTGAGAAGGCCGATTGGGGACATCACGTGCCAGGCCATGCACTCGAGTGGAAGCCAGATGGGAAGCGATGAGCTGGGCGTCCGAGGCGAGGGTGAAATGGAGGAGATCCTGCAAGGAAGAAATGAGGGCTTATGGGCTGTCTTGGAGACAAGTTCAAAAGTTCGCAGAGAACAAAGTGAACTGAAGCCGTATGTTCCACTAAGAACCCAAGGGACAAATAATAAATGCGTAAATCATAGACATTCGATTCACAATAGGATATCATACATTGTGACAGTACTACAGGACTTTAATTAAGAACTGCTGAAACACACAGACATTGTATTCATTGAGAAAATAAAACCTTTAAATACAACTTCATTGTTATCTTTAGTAAGATCTAAAATTCGAAACTAGGATAAATGTAAAACTACTGAAATAACACAGATTAAGAAATTCTCATCGCTTACCTTCTCTTGATTCCAAAATATTTCAGCCATTTCAAATCTTCCAAGTAGTATACACATGATCATTAATTCTCTGGCAGGTCTGTCAAATTTCACTGTACTTGTGTGCCTAAAATCTGTGTAAAAATAGAATTTATGCAAAAAGATCAACTTTTCTGTATGATACTTCAAATTAAAGTAGTCGGTTATTGATCTTAGGTTGTAATTCATCATGAACTGATATTGGTTAGAAGAACTGAGAGCACTGTATAGCTGTCTCGTCCTAATATAGGACTCCTCAGCAGCGCTCACCCGTGATCCCACCATGCCAGGGATCGAACCCAGAATATTCAGGTTCCGTGGTCAATGGGTCGAAATCCAATGATCCATAAACGGCACGACCTCCATTCAATATCATCGATGAGTAATTATTCTCATTTTTGACTTGGAACTTTGGGAATCATCTCTCGAAGCTAGTCACCAACGAGCGCTGATGAATTCAGTCTGGAGGTTTTTGGATATTTATCAGTTGATTTCAGGTTAGAATTGACCAATGATGCTGAGGAGTCCTATACTAGGAAGAGACTGCTGTCCAGTGCTCTCAGGTTTTCAATATTCCCTCAACTCATATCAGTGCATGATTTTACGAGTTGCAGGGTTCTGATTACTACTAAATCATTCAACACTAAGTAGGATGAATGACTGCACAATCCACAACTAGTTATCATACTGGCAAAAAAGGTCAGTGTCGTGAAATTAACACTGAGAATAACCATATGTTACTATCTGTAATCCAGTAGTCATTTCATGGATAATCTAATTTCTAATCCTTATCAATCTACTCCATCTGAAATTCTATAGCTGATACTGGGCGAAATCAAAACGTGGGTCGGTGCAGGGTTTGAACAGATTGGATAGTCAATGAGGTTACGGTGAAAGGATAATCATGCCTCGTGGATTCATATGGCAGTTGGGCAAAACTCTGCGATCGAAATGAAGTTGACTTAGTTGACAGCTAGTTGTCATGCCTCATTTAGTATAGTGTGGAGCCAGTAATCTGTAGGTCATTGACTCGACTCTTATTGGCACCCTTCAAGAAGGTGTGTCTGCACTCTCGAGGGAACTCATATTCCCTCCAGGATTCGAAGCCACATCACAAACTGGGCGATTCGGACGGCAACTAACTTTGTGCAGGAACGGATTACGTTGCAATGTTTACAACATGATGTAAAATGGTAAAGGCTTCTCCGTCTTGACTCCCTTTCTGGTCTAGCCTTACTCTCCAGCCTTGCTTAGTTTTTTTGTTTAGTACCAGATAACAGATGCTGTAAGCAAACAAATCATCCAGTACGGATATCTGATAAGGGTTTCTCTTCATTTACTTACCAGAAGATAATGACTTGTTAATTATCAGGCGGCTGAAAGTCCTCAGTTTAGATTTCGTCGTTGTTCGCACTCGTCATATAGTTATGCCTTTAATTTTGACGGAATTTAAATCCTCTTGAAGCTTCAAGGCCTCTCCATTTAATGATGAAATCAGTGACTATAGCACTTTAGCTACCCAAGTTACAATTGGCCGTATATTGGATTACGGCATGTATGCAAATTGGTCATCAGACGGTAACTGTTGTAGCTATCAAGTTCAAAGTGTCGAAAACTAATAAAACGGTTTTGACCATGTTTGCACTATAGACACTTTTATCATTGTGTTATCATGTCTGTATAAGTGTTAGTTGGATACTGACAGAACCGTAGAGCATCATAATAAAAAAAAACTTACTGGCAAGTTTGGATGGCTTCAGTTCTTCAAGTCCTGAAATTTTTCAATAAAAATAGTAAACTGGTAACTGATTTAAGTTATGGTAAATAACTTTATCCAAGTTATAAGAAATCATATTGACTTGTTCGTGAATCTCTAAGAAAATTATTCAGAGAAGGTAATAAATAGGATAGGAAAACTTTTATTCAAAAATGACGTACGAAAACTAAAGGAAAAGGACTATATTAGTAAATCTTTATCTCATGGGATATTAGAAGAAACAAGATGTACGCTAATCAGCTAAGACACTAAAGTGTTCTTTAGAGTGACAATTACTACATCGATTTCTATGATAGAGAATATATGAGGCTCAGGAAGAGGATTTTGATGGTTTCGACTTCTCTTAGCTGGATGATTCAACTGTTAAGCTTTCGTTGTCATTCTAGACAACGTCATCAACAGCACAAACTTCAGAAAGAAGTGAGCTACGGAGTTTTCTCTATAAACGGCTTAGTGAGTTGTCTCGATGGCCTTGTATTTGATTGGTTGTTCCTGACAGACTGGTCACTGTCTCTGTATTTATTGTTATCTCTTATTGGTTGATAGACTGGATCAATGACAATATGTCAGCTGATCTCTGACTGACCTGAATGTCAAGGTTCTAAAAATTCTGATATTCTTTATATTTTTTCCACATAGAATTTCTATATTTTTCTGATCAAATTCATGTCTACAGTTGTTCAATGCTAAACAGCAAAAAGTTAAAAGATCATGTCACCAGGACAAACAATCGAAATCAATATAGAGACAGTGACATGATCTTGGCAAATCACACATTAGGCCATCGAGAGAAGCTACTAAATTACTAGTGGAGAAGAATCCATTGCTCACTTCATTCTGACTTTTTTATTGATAATGCTATCTAGAATGATAGTGAAAGCTTCACGAAGAAAACTATTTAGCTCAGAGAGCACAACACAATCAGAAAACTGGGTTTGAACAAGTGGCACTTTCAGTTAAGACTCAAGTGGAAAGTAGATGGTATAATTGTTCCAGTTTCAGCCGTATTCATTCAGTATCGTCTACACAACTAAATAAAGCCAAAAGGTAAGAAGCTTAATCTCACAGGATAACTTAAAAATTAAAACAAACTAAAAGAGCTAACCAATCACACTAAAATATCCTTGACATCTTGCGTGCAAACTAAAGAAGTCAGCCTCAGAGGAAACTAGACACAAACGTTAAACCAATAAGTTTAAACATACGCCCACACCCTTACCAACCAACCAATCAAATCGCACTCAGACAAGTAGGACGTTATAAATATTTCTGCATAACCAATTAGTTCACTGTTGTATGACATTCTGATACATTGATGATAGTGTCTAGCAAGACATCGAAATGTTTGCCAACTAAAACCCTAGGACAGATACCAATTTAATCTTAGCAGAGGAATGACCATCAGTAGAATTATTTTTAGTACTTACTTTCAGTTTTAGCTTGACCAGTTAAACGTTCCATAATTGTGAACTTTTCTTGTGCTATTCTATGCCTTCGTTTACGTTCTTTTTCACGTTTACGTTCCAACCCTTGTCGTTCTATTTCCCTAAGCCTTAGACGTGCTTTCTCTGGATCAGTTAATGGATGTAGAATTGAATGTGCAACACGTTGGACAGGAATTTGATTGTATCTACTTGATGATATTTGTTGCTGTTTACTTAAACTTGTTGTCTGATTCAGACTACTCATTGACTGTTGTGGTTGTTGAAGATGTTGATCCATAAAAAGATCACTTCTTGTAATAGGTTCAAGAATTATTGACATTTCAGATTTACTAGAGTGAGTTGATGAATTCGATTGAACTGTTATATTGACAGGAGCTTGTTGAAATGAAAAAAAGGGAGAATTTTGAGAAAATATAGAAAAAACTCTACAAATTATCTTACATGCATTCAATGAATTAAGTGAAATAGAGGTGAACTGAATTAATGGAGTGCTTCACAAACAGTCTGATGGTACACCTACCTACATGTAAATGTATCATCAGGATTACTAGAGTGTAAAGGAATCCCATAAACTCTCCAACTTCTCTAATGCATAATCAACATTAAACTCAATCGAAAAGGAATCTTACACAAGATTGTATCTGTGGAAGTGCTTAATATCTACAATAAGGTGATTTCCGGGAAGAAATTTCTAAGTATATGTTGGTATTTTCCAAGAGGTGATGAATAAATCTACCTAGATATTATAAGTCAAAAAATGTCTTACAAAGTGTTGTAGAGAGGCTATTTGTCCTATTTTCAGGAGTCTGCGCAGAGTAAAATGTTAACCTTTGCCACGGTTAGTTGAATGAATGGAATCTTCACGATGAAGATCTATGTTCACCAAGTCAGACCTCTTTCAGGAAGTGAAATCATGGACCATACGTTCACAGCTTTTCATTAGTCACAAACATTTAAAGCAACACGTTACATCTGTGACCAACATTTCCAGAGACGGAGACGAATGATCAACCAATCACATGTAATCTTAGTTTCTCCATAGCAAAAATTCTTATTCACTACAGCTTACTTAAATCACTTATGATTTTTGAGCCTTGTGCACTTCGCTTTACTTTTTTAGTAAACACAGGTTTGTTCACTTTTGTGGTCTACACAGATGTTGTGTTCTCATTGTGTCCTATCGTGTGAGGAACATAATGTTAGGATTGATTTTACCCATAGTGAGTGGTAACACTACAGGTATGAAAAAATAATATATTGATTATTTGGTGATGTGTGACCTAATTCGTGCAAACCCTAGACCAGATATCAGTATACATTTGGCATTCCCTGACGAATTCAGCTAACAGGGATGTTAGCAAAACCTATTTATTAATATCCTTTCCTATCCGTCTTGATGCCATTGAATTTATTCCTCAGATAGTATGCAACCACCGCTATACGAAAAGATTCACAACTCACAATTTCCAAATGGTATCTTTTTCATCTTATCAGAGATTGAAAACTGTGTGGAAGACCATGGAAAGTCTGAAAATACTGAACATATATTTCTTCCTATTATGCAGTTCCTCAGTAATATGTCTCTACGAGACTGCTATGGATCGTGTCCGGAATCATCAACTCGATCAGTGACGAAATCTACTTTCAACTCAATAGATCCTTTCAAACTGCTAACTGGCTTTCTTTTGAATAGATTTCACGAAGTTCTAATAAGAAGAAGGTAATGAAGTCAGGAGTGGAATGGATAGGCACCGGTGACATAGCATACTGGTCATGATAGATCATGAACTGATAGAAGCATGAAACAGTGAACTACTGAATTCTAACCTTGTAGCTGAATCGTACTGCATTCACAGTGAAAGCCGACGTCCTAAGCTTGGTCCTTTGCGAGACTGTGAGTGAGCACTACCGAGGGGACCTAAACCAGGACGAAACGGCTGTCCGGTATTCCTAATTTTCCATTGGTCTTCCAGAGTGATGTCTATTCATGATGAGATCTACTTTAAATTAATAAGTCAGTCCTTAAAAACTATCGACTAATGATTGTTATACTATATAATAGGCTACTTGTGATATGGAGAATACTTCATCAACCATTATAGGATCTTTGTGTACTGTAATAGATTACTGCTAACGTGTATCCACGCTGCACTGAACTGATGAGTAGGCTTTAGATCAGAGAGATACTGTTAATTTTGTCACCTACTCTGTGGTAGATGACTGTAGATAAACATTCTACAGATGTTTTACTAGATAACTTCACTAAAATGATGTTTATCTCAAAAGTTGTCATTAAGTCTCCGATTTATTCAGAATTAATATCGTTTATAAACCTCTTTACTTTACTCTGCTATTATCATATAAATACCTATGCACAAAATAATCATGGGATAGCAAGTGATGTATTAGCCAAGTTTGCAATGTTGAAAATACACTAGGCGACCCAACACTTGTGTGTACTATAGCATGCTAGGAATATGTCAGCAGGAAGTCTTCGATCTAGGTATATCTGTCCCTCGGAGACTGCAAGTGAGGTCAGAGACTTTATTTCTGAGCTATTCCGGTCACAAGTGAGTTCTTGTAGGACTGAAGTACTGGCACAAACTACCCACTGAATGGCAATCAAGGTAATAGTCTTTGACTTCAACACCAACCTCCAAAGGAGCAACAGCTCTCCCAGGATTGTAAGAGAGTCTTGAGGATAGGTATTAAGAAGCGAGAAATCTAGGTCAATAGCTTTCTGTCTACTGATTCCCAACATTTTAAATGAAAATACAATGTGCATCAGTATGGGATTATCCAGCTCAGTGTCGACATTAAAAACATGTTTGGGAGAGCACATGATTAGTACATCATTCACTATCTGGTAATAAATTCTCGTTCAGTTATTTTTATCAAAACACTAGAGTATCATCATGAAACGAAGTATTCAATATACTGGACTTCGTAGCTTAGTTGGTAGAGCATCTGGCCGTGAACCCAGGAACAATACTAGCCTACCAAATCATGGCCATCTCAGATAGTCAGAATGATAATCAATAACCCTTTTTTAGATAGATTTGATATCTGACTGCCAAACAGTTTCCTTTGATATGGGAATGAACCCGCTAATTTCAGCTGCTATCATTCAGCTCATAAAGTGGGCTAGGGTTAATCTCAATTAGCATAACTCTTCTGTACACGTAGAGCAATGTATTGATTGGTCACGGGAGTGCAACCAATTTCATGTTGTCTAGTCCTGAGTGCAGACCGAATTCTATCGATCATATTTGCAATGTGGCAACCAAGCTAGGAAGCTCAGCATCGCAGTGCACATTAGTGGATGTTAGTTGGTTGGAGGTAATCTGCAGGAAGACCTGCTTGACCTGGATTTCGTGCTTTTTGGCACTCGTCAGCAAGGCGTATCTGCAAACTAGATGGAACTGATGTCGCGCCGGAGATTCAAACCCGCGCCACCCAGTATTGTAGTCAGCGACTTTACCACTGAGCTATTCCATACCCAACTAACCTCCCACACTCTTGTGACCAATCAATATATGTTAGGCAGTCCTACAGGAGGTCAATCGTGGTCCGAATAGCTCAGTGGTAAAGTCGCTGACTAAAACACTAGGTGATGCGGGTTTGAAGCTCGGGCGGGATATCAGTTCCACCGAGGTTGCAGATACTCCATGCTGACGAGTGGTATGAAAGCACGAAACCTAGGTCAAGCAGGTCTTCCTGCCGATTGCCTCCAACCAACTAACGTACAGCTACGTGCTGATATACAGCACTTATTTGCAGTGGTATTTATCTGATGTCTCACAGGAAACTAGCAGTGATAATCTAGTAATACTATGTGAGCCCAAATGTCTTTATTTCAACACCGTTGCTACTTGCCGTGGTTGGATCCCAGCAATCTGCTCATAAAACCGGGCATAACAACAGTGACAATGTCAGTTACTAAAAAAAAGAATTATTCGTTAAAAAATATATGTTTGTGTGCAAGACCTAAACAGCCTATCTGGTTTCACTAGCGGTCATAAATAAGAGTGGCTGACGGACAGATCAAGGTCATATGTTAATGATTGGTCAATCACTTCAGTTTGTAAAATTGTAGCTATTGGTCAATAAGCCAAGGTCACTACAAAACTATTGATTCACTTGCAACTAATTATACACTTGTTCCTTATACATTTCACATATCGGTTGTTGATTCTAGGCTTAATTAAGAACTATAAATAACATCTTTATCGAGAGTAGAAAGATACAATAGTAATAATGAGGATTTCTGACAAAGGCTTGATATAATCATACCACTGTCTTGACTGGAACAATTCTCTATATTCATCTTGTTTGATTCTTTGTTTGTTATTCTATTTTGGGATTTCTTTTTAGAATTAAAACTTTTTACATCAGAAAATACATCTTCTTGAGCTTTTGGTACAAAAGTGTTTGATCCATCCTGATGAAGTGCAGTTATGAGACGTTTTTGACCGATGAGTTTTCCATTTACAGGAGTATTTCTATTGTTTGTATACCCATTTGGATCTAAATAACCACTTGTATTATTCAAACCTGGAACTGGTTTCACAATACATCTTCGTCCACCTGTCAGTGACAATGGTGTAGCTGATACCTGATGTGATTTACCTTCTGTTCTTGACTCTTTACTTTTAGATCGCTTTGATTTTTCTGGTGATCTTGTTCTAGATTTGATTAATCTTGTTTCTGAAGAAGCATTTGATGATGAAGTAAAACTTGTACGATCTTCTGTTTCTTCAGACTTCACGTTAACTGATTGTTTTCCACTCTTATCCTTCGATTCGGCAAGATGTTTTGCCTGTTTTAGTTTGCGCTTCAACTGAGTGTCACTCTCTTGCTTTTGTTCTTCGTTGTCATTCTCTTCCTTTTGATCCAATAATTTTTCAACCTCAGACACGTCCTGCTCTTCATCAGCATTAAATGATATAGGTATAGGATCAACTGCTTTCAATGTTGATGTTGATGCAATCACTTTGCCTGTAATTAGTGAAAGGAAAAGCTCAATATTTATCTGGATAACATTTATAAGTGTCCAATTGTGGTTTAAAGCACAAAATATCTTGAAGACAATTTATACTACTTATTATTATTTAAGTAAAACAGATCCTTTTTGCAAATATTTCTAGAACAACATTATGTATACGCCGATTATAAATAGTTCCATTCGTCAGCAGTAGCAGCGATTATTTGGATTACTGTACTGAAGATTAAGTAGTATTCTGTGTTTAAGATAACTGGTTAGTAAACTAAATCAAATGCCACGTTCCTGCATCCATTATCTGATAAATTAACCTCAGCACTAATCTCCTGGAAAGCGACTCTTTCAGAACACCGACTGACGTGACGCTTTCATGTAAGTCCATACTGTAATATTTCAAGAACTTATCAAGATAACAAACAAAATTGTGCCTACTTCACTCCGATGCTGTGATCGTGCTGAAATAATCCACCTATATTGTGTTACACAGGAGAAAAATCACACTTTGGATTCCGTTATTAACCTCGACTTGTTGTAACAATGACAGTACCAACCAAACAACTGTGAATATACTTCAGGCGTTTATGTTTTTTTATCATTGGTTGACATTCTGATCAGGTTGCCTATGGCTTTACATTTTCTACATGTTCTGATATGTGGAAAATAACTGTGCATCGTATAGGCTAATAGTCTGGCTCTGTAGTCTTTCTGATTCCAAAGGCGTGATATTATTGGTGGGTGTATAATAAACTTACACACATTAACTCGGGCATCTCCCTAAACTCATCAACTCAGCAAAATAACAGCAATGAAGAGGTTTAACCCAAAGATGAAACATTTCTGTATGTTAGTTTAGGTAACTATGATATCAAAAGCTTATGAATAATATATTTTTGAGTACAAGTTCTCAGTTTACTTTTCCGTAAGCATTGGATACAACATTCAAGTGATATCGACATCATCGGGATGACTTGAAGTATTTACGCAATCGAATTTCATTAATTTTTAATACTAATATCTACTGACGTTTAGGACTTAAATGGAATGTTCATGTCGTCTGATTTTCTGATTCGACTAGAACTGCAACTGAGCATATGATCAAGCAAATATCCAAACTGACCTTTCCGTGTACACATTCTCAACTAGTGGCCTTAAAGATCACCATAGGAATCACGAAAATAACCAGTTAGGTTTATTTGTGTGTGTTAGGAATGTCATTGTTTTCACGAAATATGAAACTTTGACTGGGGACCTCAGTAGTTTTTAGAAGAGCCTTTAAAGTGGCTTATTTTAAACAAAGACTTTTCATTGGATTAATCTCCATAATCTCGTCAGTAGGACATCTTTCAACGTAAATAAAATAATATTATCAGTCATAACTATCTGGGATCCCAGTTTTTATTTGGAGGTTCTTAGCAGTCAGTAACTCCACTAGTAAGCCAATTAGGACACAGCTGACCTCCTGCAGGAATGAATCAGATACACTGATTGGTCAGTGAAGAGCTAATAGCTTTATGTTGAGTAGTCCTGAGTCCTGAACCAATTCTATTAATCATGTTTGGGATGTGACCAACAGGTTAGGAGAATGATCATCGTGGCGCTTCAAGGTATTCAGTGATTCTCCCCAACCAAGGTTAGTTCAACTTGAAACTCCTGTTTTCTTTTTCCAATCAGCATAAAAGTGACATTTTTGCTTTATCTGGCTTTCTACTAAAGTTTTCATGTATGTGTTTACAAGAGGGAGTATTCTGGATTATCTCCAACCAGTTTTGAGGACCTCATAACGTGGCATCATCGGTAACCGCTGGGTAATAAATTAATATGATACTCTTGCTTTGCACTAATCAACTTTTAAGAATTAGTCAGTATCATGATATACTATTTCAATGATGTGTAACGAAAATGTGGGATTCAGTAAGGTGTGCTGATACATAATAGCCAAGTTTTACGTAGAATTTACTTTCCACATGAATGTCATCCATCGTATAAACTGTCAAATGAAGGCAAAGCTAACTGCATTTATCGTGCTCAGTTCAGCAATCGATGTAATGCTGTCGTCTTGAAGACCAGCAAAACTTTATAACCAGAGTTTCTCACTTTGAATAGTTCAGATGGAGGGCAACTGAAAACCTAAGAAATGTGGACAGATATTTCACCCTAAGTGGTAAACCCTAAGCAATGAGCACTCATGAGACCTGATGATCTGCGACTTGATTCCTCATGCAGTCATTGACGTTAACAGCTGAGGAGTCCAAAACCACTTTGAAACAGATATTCAATCCAACCAGATTTTCAGCGATTCTTCAACTGAAATCATTTTATGACAAAAACCAATGTGAAATCATTCGATCATTCCCTACAAACCATTAGTTAAAGTATTTATCTCAGGGTTATATCCATCAGTTGGAGAGCCAGAGAAAGAATGAGGGCATTGGACAACTGTCTCGTCCTAGTATAGAACTCCTCAGCAGTGCGCACCTACGACCCTACCACGACTCGTACATGAGACTTACAGGTCTCGCAGCAACCACGATGGCACTGAGTCACTGCTAAAGAAATCCACACTTGGACGAAACAGCTGCCCAGTGCTCTTAAGTTTTAAAAAGTTGTCGGACTGACGCTAGTTTACGGTGAATTCCAGTTCGAAATGAATAAATCTCCACAACCTCTTAACTGAAATATATATCTAATACAGGTGATTGGATAATCTTTTGGCTTACCTGCCGGTTTATCGTGTTCCCCATCAAATTCATACTGACGATTAGTCTCATCTTCTTCACTTGAATCACAATAACCGTGTTCTACAACAGACTTTTGAAAACGCTTAGATAAGTAGAATGGATGATAGAAATCACCAAGAAGATTTTTAATAATTCTACCAATATCTCTAAGCATCACCCAATCCATTTTATAAATTCTTGCACTTTTCCATAATTGTTGCAATAATCTTGATTTATAATCCTATAATGAAATTTTTAAACCGATAGAAGGAAAGAAAACATGAACTTCAATTATATTATTCAGTTTATTTTAAAAGAAACATTTCATCAAAGCTCCTATGAGACGCAACAATAAACTGGCTTGGAACTGTCAGGACGATTTACAACGGTCATTAATGTACCCAAAATATACTATATTCACATAAATTAAATGACCTCAGGGAAATGCTTCAGTAACTTGTTCTCATTGGGTCAGTAAATAACCAATCAGCTAAATAAGGTCATTAGAACCATATGGTAGCATCGATGAAAAAAGGTGACACTCAAAACCTTTTATCTCAGGGGCAAATAACTTAAAATGTTGATATCTGCTTTCGAGTGACTTTAAAGATCATCTGAACAATTGATGAGATAAACAACTACACTATATTTTACAAACAACTAAAATACCAGAATCTGATTCGTTTTTTCATCACTTAGCTTTGCTCATCTATTATCAGTAGTGTTTATAGGTTGCAGATACCTAATTATCTGTTGGAAGAAATCACTATTTTCACTTTGTTTTGTGTGTATGCTAATTCCCCTCTTAATTGTTCTCGTTTATCCGAAGGAATGTTGCTTTTGTATTCCTTTTTATACCTTCTGATTTAAACAACTTAGTACTATTGAGTAGTGTCGTTTATGTTTCCATATGACGTTACTTCAACCACTTTGTCCACTCTGTTCAATAGTATCTTGTTCATCATTTAAGATTACTAGATATTAGTATCTTTCACAGTTCATGATGGTGTTTCAATTTCTTTCTTCGTTCCCTGATGTTCTATTTTACCTTGGACACTTGTTTATCTAGTGTCTTTACCTCATCGTAGGAACTTACCCGTTGAAAACCTGGGAGCACTGGATAGCTGTTTCATACTAGTATGGGACTCTCTATAAGTACCCGCCCATAACACAGCTAGGGATCGAACTCAAGTTTCGATCATTCCACCGCTGGATTAGAGTTCAGTAGTTCAGTTTCCAACTTCTGTCAGTTCACGATATAGTATAACTATCATCCAAGCGCTTTAGCGGACATACGCTTCACTTTCGATTGATGGACTCCATAGGTCACAACTTCTCACCAGAACTTCGTGATATTCATCTCGAAGTATGTCACTAATGAGCAATACGGATGCTAACTGACAGAAGTAGAAAACTGTGGACCGTTGAATTCCGACCCAGTGGTTGAATGCTTAGAGTGTTCGCCGTGAAACCTGAAGGTCCTGATTTCGATCCGTGGAGGGCAAGGTCGTGGTTGGGTACTACTGAGGAATTCAATACTAGAACGAAACGGTTATCCATTCCTCCCAGGTTTTTAACAGTTGTCCAGATCATTTCAGTTCATGACGAATACACCCTTAAAATTAAAATCCCCATAAACCTCAAAACACAACATTACTTTTATCTGTTAGTTTTTCCTTAGTATTTTGATCTTAAGTCTAGTGATTTAGATTGGTATGTACTTGTGCTAGATCCTGTATTGTTAACCTCTCTTCATTTTCTAATATCCTGTTTTCAAGGTCATTTTGGGGAATTCTTTCTCCATCACAGTCTAGGCATACATTTATTTGTATGAACAACTATACAAACAAACTTCTGAAATCTAGTTTTTGATGTTATGTGTTGTGCACCTCCATCTTTCATTGGACCGGACTAATCGTCCACAATTGCTATGTAGGCTCCTGTGAGGATGATTCTATAATAATTGAGGATAGCGGCTGGCAGTAGAATCAAGAATGGGCGTTTCATCTTAATTGGGATTGGTCAAGTGGATGTAACTGCCTTCCAGTGGATGATGTTGTTCCCAATAAGACTCGAACCCACTATCCATTGCTCTAAGTGCCAAAGCGTTGCCACTAGACCGTCGATTAGAAGGTAATTAACTTAGGAGCCTAGTGGATAACACTGTGGCGTTTGAAGCGATTAGTTCAAGGTCCAAGCCATAGTGGGAACAACAACACCTAATGGGAGGCAAGTGCACCCAACTGATTAGTCACAAATCGGACGAACAGCAGGTCCTGGATTCCACTCCTGAAAACTACTCACTGTTTCGAAAGACTTCTCTCCTTTATGTCAACATTTTCTGAGGGTAGACTGCATTCAGCATTTTCGTCACATATATTAGTGTACACAGTCAACAGATTCTGTAAACTAATCTACCGGGTCTGAAACAGCCGTTTAGTTATCTTCTGTTTCGAACTACGTGATACAAATTGGGTTACTTCAACATGCTTTCAAAATACAACGCCTGTTTCTCCAACCCAATGAACAGGAGAATACTAATAAACTTTCAGACAGCGTTCTAACCCCAGGAGTTCTTGTCAAAAAGCAACAGTATACCTTGTGGATTTCGCATAGTAAGTAAGCTAACCTCTAGAGCACCGTATCCATTGCAAAGTGTAATATTTCATCAGTCAAAAGATGTATAGGTGACTTTTGAAAAATATGATCCCTAGCACCCATTAAGACGCTATGAATTCCCCGAGAAGACCAACCACGTTATCGGTTGTCATACAGCTAACGTCACTAAAATATATAAGCCTTACATTCAACTCATCTCTTGCAAACGGTTTTAGAATTCTATTTTGTAGATAAATTGTCTAACAGTTTCTGTCGCTTTTTAACTAGCCTTCTGAATTGGTTATGCAAATTTCTTTTTCTCTCCATAACCTCTACTAGTTAAATATCAGCTCTAATTGATTTTTTCAATAGTATCACGCTACATACTACTTAAATGCATCCTTATAAGTACCACACATTATTGTACCATTAAGTTTCTCAACCACCAGTAGAACAATATCAAGCCAACATTTATCCTGATAATAATTATGGAGATATTGAAAGTAAAACTAATTTACTTACAGTCTTTTTTAAGCATTCTGTATACAATCTTTCCAATGTGTGTACAGTCAGGAATTCATCTAAATTAAATCCATTTTCCAGTATTAATCGAACAAAATCTGTTTGTTCATTCAGTATAACATTGAACATGAATTCATTTAAATCACCCTTCTGTTATAAATAAACAAATTCATGAATTTAAACAAAAGTTACTGTGTTGCAAAATAATTTACGCTTATTTTAATCAAGACTGAGTTGATTACCTAATCCAGATAAAACAATCTTTACTTGTAACTACCATGTTGCCTTATCAATAGAACGTGGAAGTTGTGAGATTCTGAGTCGTCGTCAGCAGTTATCACCACAAACTTGATTGATTTATGGCAGTCATTAAACTTCTGTAGTGTGTCTTCTATGTAAATCCAGAAGTTCAGTGAATGGCACACATCAATTTAGTATATTATGGTAAATGAAGATAATTCAGAATTCAGTCGATTAGTTTCACAAATATTGTATTCTGAGAGAAACATTGACATCAGATATATATATATATATATATATATATATATATATATGATTTGTCCCTTGGGTTCCATTTCACCTTCAAACATCACCTAGTATCAAAAATGCAAGTCCGCCAAATCTCAAATAGTCAAAATGATAAGCAACATGCTGTTTCCCGTCCCTAATTCAGCCAGATTGGGATTGGGATAAGAAGTCCTGACTAAGCAGCCAGTGTGAATACAATCAAGCGATAGTAACGAGTCACGAGTTGACATGGCAGTTGGGCGAAGCCCATGGTGATTGAATTGAATTAAAAATCTGGTTAGGAGTCGGACCTCATAGCTCAGTTGGTAGAGCATTGAGTCAGAAACCGGGTGGTCTCTGCTTCAAGTCTGGCAGCTGTCCAGATTCTAATTTCACCTTCAAACATCATCAGTATTATGAGATTTGTTTATACTCTTTGTAAAAGCTAAATATACCTTTCATTCAATTATGTTATGGTTCAACACTTATGGTTCCTCTCACAATTGTGGCAGCAAATGAATAGAGAGACAGAGTGTTGTATATTCCAAGCGGATGTAGTGCGCACACTTAACTGACCACTAACCTCATATGGAAGACCCATCTGTTCCAATCCCGCACAAAATAGAATTGAAGACTGTACTGGATGGGAAAATTTATTCCTCCGTCAGTAATAATCAGTTACCCCGAAGACACGTGTGTATGTATACATGAGGTATGACTTTATTCAAAATCTGAGACATTAATATAATAAAAATAAGCATTAACCAATCAGAGAATTACCTTGAAAATGGGGGTATAAATGAATTACTGGGCATGCCGTAAAAATTAGGACAAGAACGACAATTCAAAAATATTTGGATCAATAAATAATATTTTATACAAAACTGAGACCCTTCAGCAGAGAGAAAAAAAGAAGGTAACTGCAGGGAAGAAAGTTCTAGGTGTCACGAGTACATTCTTTAAGGAGGCACTGTGAGTATGTCCTGCGATTAAGCATGAGCAAGTGCGAAATGCACTTCAGGCAATGGCTTTCAACCACCTAATAGAAACTTTTATTAAATTCATATATATGACTTTAGTATCATAAGTGTATCGTAAAATGGGTACAGTATTCAGGATTAACTTTTAATGAGTTGAAGTTCATTTGTCAAAAACTATCGAATATTACGTAACATAAATAATAACCAGGAACTATGAAGCAAATTAACATACATTAAGCCTATATGAAAAGTAGGTCTTCCTACGGATCGCCTACAACCACATAAAATAGGACAAAGTAGCTCTTCACCAGCCATCCTTTAATCTCCAATAATCGTCTCGAAGATTACAGTCTGTGATGAAAACCACTTTTAGATCTTATTGTCAACGCCTTTGCTTATTATTCATCGTATCTTACAGCTATATTAAAGAAGAGAGGCAGCAAGTGCTCAACTGTTCTTATGTTTTTTCGAACTAGTCTTTCTCTCCAAGTTCGTATTCATCGTGAACTGATATTAGTTTGGAGGAATATTGGGAACCTGGAATCACTGGAAAGCTGTTCCTTCATAGTATAACACTTTTCAGTGTGCACCCATGACCCCGCCACCTTCAGGCTCTCCGGTCAGCTCTTTACCATTGAGCCACTGAATCAGAATCCAATGGTCCGTATTTCTAACTTCTATCAGTTCACGGCATGTCGTGACCTTCACCTAATGTCATCGCTCAGTATTTGTTCTCATGCCCACCATGTTTGCCCCACTGGTCACGACTTCTCACTGGAACTTCAGGAATCAACCCTCAAAGCTAGTCGCAAATAACCACTTGTTCACTTGAATTTAAGGGTTTGTGCCGCGGAACCTGAAGGTAGCGGATTCGATCCCTGGCGGGGTCGCGGGTGCGCACTGCTAAGGAGTCCTATGCTAGACTGAAACACTTATTCAGTGCTATCAGGCTTCCAGTGTTCCTCCAAACTGATGTCAGTCCATGATGAATACCAACTTGACTAAATCTCCAAATCCCCACAAACCCCTCAAATTCAATTTGTGGAAATTATTTCTGAAAGACAGTTAACCCAGTAGTTAATAAGTGTGATGTCTAGTAGGGGCCTTTTAAACTAATATCAGGTTAAACGTTGGAACGTAAACCACAACAAAGAAGTTGAACTGTTGAATACTCTACCAGAAAAGTTTTGAGTTTAAAAGTTCTAAATAATTCTAAACTGCAGGTAGATTATTATCCGAAATATCGCGATTGTAAATAACAATTTAGAACCCAGTATTTTACTTTTTTGCCAATGAAAATATTGATGTCAAGTGATTGGAGGCAGTTCAGTGGAACATTTGCTTGACTAAGGTCACACGCTTCTGGATACTTGTCAGCAAGGCATGTCCACTAGCCCGAAAGAAATATATATACCCCCTAAGACCCAACCACATGCGACGCACTGCTGCAGCCGGAGACATTGACACTAGTCTATCCTGGCTGTGACTCGACTGTAGCCCTCGATGATGCGGATTTGTATCTCTGAGAGGCCATCAGTTTCCTACAGGTATCAGATATCCTGTGTTGACAAGTGGCATCAAAAACAAAGCCAAGATCCATGGCCCCCTATCGATCGCCTGCAATTATCTAACATCAGTCATAGTTCATTGCAATGTTGAATCTCCTAGTTTGGTGGCCATATTAAAAAATGATTGGTAGACTATTTGTGATGGGTAGTGGCTGGCAATAGAATACAAAACTTGCGTTTCGTTTCATTTGAGACTCATCAGCTAGATGTATTTGCCTTCCAGTAAATAATGTCGATCGATAGAATACTTTCAGTATGTCAAGACTGGAGACGTTGAAATTGGTTACGCCCCGACAACTAATTTATGTAATGAGAACATTCTCATATAATGTAGAAATTATATTTAAATTCAAATAATACAGTTAAGATGGCAAGATACATGTCAGTATTTACTAAATTAATTGTGATAACTTACTTTCCATCTTTTCCCTTCAAGAAATATCTTTGTACGCGCAATATCTGCTCGATTTAGTCGTATAGTGATTTCCAGTTGGTCCAAATTTAATTCATTCTTTGGTCTGTCAATTCCAGCTTTGAGGAAGATAAAGAAATGTAATTGGTTTGTTTAACTGATTCTCAAATACACTCTACAGTAATGATATTTTAGTGAACCAACAATTTAGATTGTAGCCCTAGAAATCACTTTCCCAGCAGTTAAATTAAACACCATATGGAAAACAAAGTGTTCACTACAACATTCGAAAGTTGATAGGTTTCCGCCTCACGTCATCCTAAATTGTATATGTTAGAGCATGTATATCGAAAGGATAGAGAGGAGGTCTGACACTTGGCTGCGTGAACACGTTCGGAATAAGTTAAGATTTAGGAAACTAAAATGTCCCCAGAAAATTCATAACTAGATATCTGATGGACACATGACACGACGTCCACAACTCGAGTGCACTTAAATGTATCAAAAAACAAAAAAACAATAATTCACGAAGATTTGCAGTGCCACTTGCTGTCACAAAGAATTTAACCGAAACTGTGCATCCAGAAGGAGGCAGTCATTAACCTCCTATTTCTATGATAGCCATTGGTTTGTTAGTCACTATACGCCCTTCCAAAATCTGACACTGTTTATAAATGTCATGACCGATAGTGTGACCTAACAGTCCACGAGCGATACTAGCCTAATATACAAAGCGAATCTACTCTAATCGCAGTTCAAAAAAATTAATCGCCTCAACAACAATACCACCGATACGAGGAGATATGAAGAGAAAACGTAACTTTGACAGAGCTTTTACTGTCTCAACAACAGTCAAAACAGTTGACAGAGATGCTGAATATATACATTACTTAATAACCTTAAAAAACACTGAATTCACTGATAAGTTAGAAGGGTCAATACCCAATGAGAGTTAAGGCTTCAAAAGCAGTGGGGAATAAAAAAGGTATCAACAACACTAAGTGGATCGGAAAACAGAATTTATTCATTTATTTATTTCAATTATTTATCCCTTAAGTTCCTAGTGGAACATAGGGCTTCAGTAGCATGCTGCCATTCCACTCTCTTCTCTGTAGTTTTTTCAACCGTGTTACACCACTGCCCACAAGCTTTCATTTCTTCCTCACATGATCTTCTCCATGTCACCCTCGCACCCCCAACTTGTCGTTACCCATTTGACTTCCACTCAACGGTCTGGTCTGACCTTGTGCCTGATGTCCCCAACTGGTCTCCTCAGTGTATGTCCAATCCAGTCTATTTCCACTTTCTTCTGCATATTTGTTGGGCGATGAGTTGGTGGTTGGTTTGTTGCCGGCCAGCCAGAATTCCTTCCTGCTTATTCTCATTATTCTGACCATCTGATCTGATCTTCAGCATCGAGTGATCGTAGGCAGAAGCTGTTCATGCATGTCTGTAGTTTGTTGGAAATGCTTTTCGTGACATACCAAGTTTCTGAACCATCACATGGAAGCACTGACTCACTTGACTGACATTAGTATTGAAAATCCAAATCTTGTTCACGCTTTATGCTGAGTGCAGTGTAGTCCAGTGCAGTAGATCTCCACACTGACTTCAGATGAATGGAGGAAGACCTGTCTTGCTGTCTTTCCGATCCTGGCTTTGACGTCCTCATCTGTGCTGCCATTGCCTGCAGTTGTAGCGATGCTGCCTTGCCTAGGTAAGTGAAAGAGACATCTTCATTTAGATTTCGCCTGTTGATGGTGATTGGTGTCTCTTGTTGTTGTTGCTGGTTGAGTATCTTCATCACCTCTGTCTTCTTTACGTCCACCTGAAGTAAGACCCGTCTTCCTGCGCCGCCTCACCTCTTCTGCCAACCTGTCAGTTTTCACTTGTAGATCTTCGAGTTTGCTTGCTATTAGACATAAATCACTGATGAAATCTAAATCTTTCAGGATCTTTTCCCCTGTCCAGTGTATCCCCCTGTTCTCGCTCCTCACAGTTTGTTGCATGATCCAGTTGACCACAATCAGGAATATCATGGGGGGTAGTAGACATCCTTGTTTCACTCCTGTCTTCACTTCAAAAGCATCACTGAGCTTCCCATAGTGAATTACTTGGCATGTGGCGTCTTCATATAGTTGGTGAATGAGGTTGGTAAAGGTTTTGTGGCACTAAAACCATATTGTTGAGCGAGGCGCCAAGTTACTTCTCGGTTGACGCTATCAAAGGCCATTTCAAAATCAATAAATTTGAGGTAGAGAGTTGACTGGCATTCTATGCTCTGTTGTATGATGATGCGTAACGTTGCAATTTGATCCGCACATGATCTGTTCTTCCTGAAGCCAGCAGAAAACAGTAATAATAAAGTTATTTTAGGGTAATGGGCAAACATCAGACAAATGTTAGGCAAAATTAGGGTATTAACACATCCTTTCTGTCATGTGAATACTTTCTAGTTTGAAAATGAAACTTCAGATATAGAAACGTTGAAAATAGAAAAGATCAGACTATTAGTTTATGTATTAATACCGCGTGGGGAGACAGCTCCTGAAAATTCATGTAAAGATGTGTATACGGTGATAAGTTTGCAAAATTATTTATTTATTTGCCACTGATCTGGATACTAAAACCTACAGATCATCCCAAGTTGTTTATAACTTCTCGTGTTTTTCTGTAGTATGGTATGTGTATTGGTGTGGATAACTGTAATGCATAGAACCATCCACATTTAAAATAAAGACAGGTATTCGTGAATACCACGGAAAGATTATCATCCTATGCCACTAGTTGATCAGGGTGGTTAAATGTGAAATTAGTGCCAGCTCGGGTGATAACCTAGTGACTTCATCATGAAGTGCTGTCTAATAAATATGAAAACCTGAAGTGTGACCTTGTGAGAGGTTGACTGTGTGGACCAGTGAGAAATTATATCCCCTCAGAAACAAACGTGCCTTGATTACTGGTTGCTGGTAATTTCTGTAGGGTATCTCATGTAAAACCATGAACTATCTTCAAATTTATGAATTGTGCAGTGAGACCAGTTGAAATAATTAAATAATCGGTCTCAGGATATCCATGTGGAGTATTGTAGATGGGGGTAGTCTTGATTTTGTTTCACCACAAACAAAATCACAAATGAATTGCCTACATCTTGTTAAACCCAGCCTGTCTAACCAATACTTACAACCAGTTGACATCCTGGAACTTCATTTGACTTAGACATAAACAACACCATAGTAGTGACGGGTATTGGCTTGCAATGGAATCCAGGATGCACATCCCGTCTTATTTAGGACCTATCAGCTGGAAGTAGCCGCCTGCCAGTGACTGGTGTTGTCCCCACCGGTATTCAAGCTCTGGACCGATTGCTACAAGTCCCAGAGTGTTAACTGCTAGTATAATTGCTTGTATTATTCAATCAGAGACGGTATAATACAAGCAATTATACTAAAACTATACCCGTCGGACAAGAAGTGGCCATCGTGGCTCAGTGGTCTAGTGGTTAATGCCCTGGCATTTGAAGAGACCGGTCCAGAGTTCGAATCCCAGTGGTAACAACATCACTCACTGGGTGGCAGGTACATGCAGCTGACGAGCCCCAGATAGACGGAAAAGTGAGTCCTAGATTCCACTGCCAGCCATTATCCATCATTACCATAATTAGAACACAGGTAATATCGAGGTATCAGGACAGCAGCCGATGTGCCAAAAGAGACCGATCAATTCGGTCCAGTCAACGTTGGTATAATACAAGCAATAGTAATAAATGACATCCTTTACAATTCAGAGAATCACATGAAATAGCTCATCAAAAATATGGAAATTGAAATGTAAATACCTAATAGTAACCAGGTAGAGAAACAAAACTGATGTATGTTGACTTTGAATAGTGTTTTTGTCATGTGAGCTGCCTGGCTAGGATTTGTGTGATAAATATGATGAGTGACTTGGGATTTTCTTTGACATGACTCAAAGCTAACCACATCGGCGCAGTTGTATCCATACTTTGTCCTTCTGAAGCCTCTAAAATCAAACTGTTCTGTTCTTCCAATTTCATATTTCTTCTAGCCACGTACCGTAAGACTCCTTTCATTCCGTTGGCTTTCGTCTAGTTGATTTCCCCACTAGCAAGGCTGTAGTAAAGAAATTTGTTAACATTCTTCAATCCCTATATAAAAACACCTCAGATAGAGTGAAGGCATACAACCGCCAGTCTACATTGTTGTAAACCAGTAGTGGGGTTGGGCAGGGTTGCCTGACTTCTCTGTTCCTGTTTAACTTTGCCATCAATGAAATTTTTGAGATAGGTTTGAAAGAGATGCGTGATGGTGATGTAGAGAACGGCTATTCGACCTGGAATATGCGGAAGACATAGTCTTACTGTGCGATACAACACATGCTGTTCAAATCGCAAATAATCTGTTGGCGATTAGTGCTTGTAAGTATGGTGTGTGTCTTGGATCATCGAAGTGCAACATCGTCAGGAGCCTGTGCCTGAGCTCACTCTTGGTGGTGAGCTATGGGAAGTAGTCAAAAAGTCCGTGTATCTGGGCAGTTGTGTGAGTGGTGAACTTTCTAACTCGCATATCAAAAACCAGAGTGGCTTACGTCAACCTGAGCAACCTCTGGAGCCACTGAGACGTTAATATGATAGTAAAAGGTTGGGTTTACAACGCTTCGGCGCGAGCAGTTTTCTGCTACACCTGTGAAATCTGTCTTCTCCGAGGTGAGGATGTGCGACGATTCCGTGTGTCCACTCAGACTTCTCTCCGTAGGAATGCTCGTATCCGGTGGTAACACCATATAAGTAGTTCTGAGGTGTGACAGCATGTGTTTTGGCATGATAGAGATCGTCATTCAATAAGTGAAGTCATCTGGAAACACTAGTTTCGGTGGCTTGAATATGTGTTATATATGCCATCCCAACGGCTGCCATACCGTCCACCGATTGGCAGCTCTGGGACTGGATGGAAGGAGCAGAGGGATGGTCAGTGTGTGACGTGGCGCTATGGGATGAAGGATAGTTGTATCAGGTTTCCATCTGCTGGTGAGGTCTGAGAGATCACGCAACTCAGTAGCTTCAAACGTTATCAGATGTGGCTCAGAATCGAAAGTGGTGGCGGTCATGGTGTAAGTTCCTCCCATCTTTTGCCCCTTAAAAGTAATGAATGTTTTGTCTGAATGTATCTTACTGCACTGCTCTTCTAATCATTCAATTCTTATTGTGTTTTACTTTTACCCACTTCCCTTTGCTTTACGTCTTCGGAATGTTATTATATTATTTTATGTGGTGTATTTCTTGCTGCCCTTGGTGTACCATGTCGGTGTTCTAATTATAATAAAAATAAACTCCTAAAGCAAAAAACGTAGCTTGTAGTCATTAAATCTGTCAATGAAACATTTCTTCCAATCTCTCAAGATTAGAAACAGTCGTCAACATCTTTACCAGCTATTTTACCTGTAAAATATTTATGCCTACATCCTTCAGCTACCAACGTCTACCATCATGTGAACCTTGACCAAATAAAATGGAAATTTCTCCATATATAAGAACAACTACCAAAGATTTCACACATAGTGGTGATCGGTTCTGTTCTGAATTTCTTGAAACACTTTCTTCATACCGTAAACAGAATCTGAAATTTTGGTTGGTGACAAACGCTTCTACTCAACAATATGGTTTAAAAACGAATAGACATCCAATTACATTTAGTTTCTGTAATTAGCCTTCATTTTGTTATTCCAGCCGATAAAATAAAGGTTAACGATAACCAATCGATTTTTGGTATCGGTTAAAATGAATATATATATATATATATATATATTATTTTTCCCTTGGGTTCCTAGTGGAACATAGGACTCCAGTAGCACACCTCCATTCCACTCTCTTCTCTGCATTCTTTCCAACCTGGCTCCACCACTGCCCACAAGCTTTCATTTCTTCCTCACACGATCGCCTCCATGTCACCCTCACCTCGGACGCCCAACTCATCGTTTCCCATCTGGAATCCACTCAAGTGCCAGGCGCGTGATGTCCCTAAATGGTCTTCTCAGTGCATGCCAAATCTATCTGTACTTCTGCATATTTGTTGAGCTACGTATTCTTGGTTGGTGCGTCCCAAGGCCAGAGTTCCTTGTTGCTTATTCTGATTATTCAGGCCATCTAAGCTTAAGCATCGTGCCAGCGTATGTAGTTGTTGATGAATGTCTGTAGTTTGTTGGAAATCCCTTTCGTTAAGCGCCAAGTTTCTGAACCATATAGGAGCATTGACTTGACTGGATTGGTGTTGAAAATCCGGATCTTGTTTCACATGCTGAGTGCAAAAGATCTCCACACTGGTTTCAGATGAGTGAAAGCCTGTCTTGCTGTCTTTCCGATCCTGGTTTTGACATCCTCGTCTGTACCGCCACCTGTAGTTGAAACGATGCTTCCCTGCCTAGGTAGGTGAAATAGACTCCTTCCTTTAGGTGTCTCCCGTTAATGGTGATTGGAGCTTGTTGTTGTTGGTTAAGTATCTTCATCACCTCCGTTTTCTCTACATTCACTTCACTCCACATTCACTCGCTGCCTTTTCTATCAACTTGTTGGATTTTGCCTGTACATCTTCCAGTTTGCGCGACGTTAGACATAAATCATCGCCGAAGTCAAAATTTGTTAGGGTCTTTTCATCGGTTCAGCCAGCGTATGACCACCTTCTTGCTGCTCATGGTTTGCTGCATGATCCAGTTCAGTCGACCACAATTAGGACGATTGTTGGTGAAAGTAGGTGGCAACCTTGTCTTACTCCTGTCTTTACTTCGAAGGCATCACTAAGCTTCCGATTGTAAATCAAATAAATAAATAAAGGTTTGTGATATTCCGTAGTGTTGAGGCAGTTTTCAAATTACTTCTCGGTCGACTCTGTCAAAGGCCTTTTCAAAGTGAATGAAGTTGAAGTAGAGGGTTGACTGCCATTCTATACTCTGTTCTATTATAATGCGAAGCGTTGTAATTTGGTCCGCAAGTGATTTTTACTTCCTGAACCCAGTGCACCCTTTAGTGTCATTAGGATGATGCGGCTTAGTATTTTGCTCGGGGTGAACAGAAGCATGATTCCGCGCCAGTTCTTGCAAAGACTTAGGTCACCATATACATATTAATTGTAAGAATACAACCAAGACTCTCTGTACATGTGGATGTATCGCTTTCCAACTTACCACTGCTTAATAAAGCTGATATCATATAACCATCTAAATCGATATCATCACACTCAAATACAGAAAATAAGTGTGCATAATCATCTGCTAATTCTTTTAAACGATGTATTTGAGATTCATATTCTTGAATATTGATTGTAGTGTTGGTTAGTTGATCTGTTGTACCAGTTGTCTGTTTATGTGAATCATTTGGTAGATTTAATGTTGAATTTGTTGGCTTATTTCCAGACTTTGTTGATTTATCCAACTTTTTCAATGGTCTACCACGTCTATTTCGATGAGCATCTTCTTTAACCTCTTGTATAATACTTGCTATTCTGTAGTGGAAAAAAAAGTGTTTTATGAGATAAATGATTTAATGATGCAATGATTGCTCAGTTAAATAGCAAGTGATACAATTCCAGATCCTTGAGAAAGCATCACTTCTTTTGAAGTTGAAGATCTGTCTTGGTGGTGAGTGACAGTAACTACAAAATCCTAGTCTACGCCTACCAGCTGATCAACCCTGAAGATCTAACACCAGAATGCAAACACTGTAAATACTCCATCACCTATCCTAGTGACCTTAAAGGGATGAAAAGAGTTCGGCTGTCAATCATAGTAGACAACATCATAATTGTCACTAGTGGTCAGTAACTGACCGGTATAGGATATATATGATTGAATCTTGTTAGTTATACTATCTTCACGGTTGTATTTGCTCAGTTAACTTACCTGACTAGATAAGACTCATAACATTTGAGTTAGTTGAAGTGGTTATTGGAAACCTTTTCTCTGATCAGTTGGTTTAGACTGACTCCATCAGCGATTTATTGCTTTCTCATTGACTGACATTGTCTATGAGGATCGATAATGCTATTCTGTTCCTTCAGTATGAAGTTTGTAGGGATTTATTTATCTTAAGGTTATATTCCTTACGGATTGACATCATTTGAAGAACTACTGGAAACCCTTAGAGCACTTGAAAACTGTTTCGATTCACTGAGAGACTCCGACAGTGAGCACACACGACTCCAAGACGGAGAGGATTCAAGACCTGCGGGTATTGTGGCAAGTGAGTTACCGTCTGATCGCTGCTGAAGAGTCTCAATACCAGGACGAAACAAGTGTCCAATGCTCTTAGATTTTCAATCATTCTGCAACTTATATCAGTCTGCGGTAAGTACCAACCTGATATCCCACTATCTGTTGTGTCATGAACTCTATGAGTCATACAGATAAGTTTCTTGGGGGATTGTTTACTCTGGTGTTGTATCTTACGAGTGGTGTAGTCGTCGAATGATACAAAATGCCTGGTGACCGTTAATGAACGATGGAATACCTTCGACTGAATTCTTCTCAGCTGCAGAAAGTCGGGAAAGCAACTAATAAACTCGAAAGTGTATCCGTTAAGTCTAAATACTTCCTAACTTGTTTAAAACCGTCACCTACATGGATATCTTTTCAAGGCTATAGAAACGAGATGAAGAAGCAATGTATTAAGACATATACCAGTCAAATAGGAATAAGTCAGCACTTAAGCGCCGTAAAATTAAATAATAATCACTGTAGGGTAGTTTGGCACAAAAATCCAAACTAGAGAGAATTAAAAACCAAAAAATGTATTCAGTCAGCTAAATAATAAAACAATGAAAACCTTGTTAACTGATCGAAGGCGATCGGCAAAATGCTCTGTTTCAGCTAGATTCCACGTTTGTTGGCACTCGTCACCAAGGCTTATCTGTAACCTCTAGGGAACTGCTGTCTCTTTTGAGATTTGAACCAGCGTAACCCAGTGCTGCAGTCAGTGATATTGAACTTCTGTAGGACTGGATTAAATACCACGATTGGTCACGCCAAAGTAACCAAGTTCGTGTTTTCTAGTCTTTAGTAGTGTGGTTATGAAGCTAGCATACTCACCCTGGAGGTGCACGTTAACTAGTATTTGTTTCGGAAGTGATCTGCATGGAACTTTACTCGACTTAAGTATTTCTTGTGCTTATTGGCACTCGTCAGTAAGGCATATCTAGAACACACAGTGATACAGTATTATTTACTTGATGACATCCCGAGCATAAATTGTCATTGCTCACAATCATATCAAAGGAAGCATACAACTTTCGGAATCTGATTTTCAAAGTCCTGTCACCTCATATTATTTGTTCTTAGTGATACTGAAATTTTCCACATCTCTGGTTTAGGTATTGCATCATTCCTAATACATGTGCTGGGTGATAATTCAATGAACACAGATTAAGTAATCAGTCCTTCCCCCTGCACTCAATTATATTCTACTTGAGTACAGTGGCTTTATCACAAAGTACCACTGCTGAAAAAGTTTGAGTAGATAGAAATTACTGAAGCAAACCAGAGTGATCCTCACACGGAGAAGCCTTTTCGCTCGTTTGGGGTTCAGCTCACCAGCAATGTACCTGGACAATTATAGCTCACAAAGTCCTGGTACACCTCTGATGAGCTCAGCCTCAAACGAGTGAAATGGCCGTCTGATGATTTAATCACACCAATTTGGCTGGTGAAATACTACAGATCAGCCTGAGTGGTTTCTTACCACTCAAGTTGTTCAGAAGTAGTACTATTTACTATCTGATTACACTTTTGTATCACAGCTCACACCATGTGATCTCTGCTGAGTGGTTTACAGTGAAAACCTTGTTGACGTCACAGTCGAATAGTTGAAAAACTACTCATCTATGGTAAATGTCAACGTGGATAATGCAATTTGTGAATCATTTGAAAACTGTTCACCCTATTTCGGTTTTCTTCTATCCTACTGTATGGTTGTGTGTTCACGCATGCATTCTAATACTCGGGTTTTTTCTAGATCATTGATCTTATTCGGGTTTATCATTCCTATATTTAGCTAAATTCCCATGTTCAACCATTCTAACTGCCCCCGACTGGCTAGTTTGGCCTATGTACGTCAGAGTCATTACATGGAGTTTGATAGGTTAGATTATTTTTCCTAATTGGTCCTATCAGATTCCTAAGCCGAAAAAGCTTATCTCTGAATAAGTTTGAAGGTTTAAGTGACACCCTAATCCTAGCCTTGTTGAGAATCTAATGTAAAGTTTCTGGTGTTCCAGCCTTATGTGATAATACAGTGGAGGCTGTGAACTTCTTTCTACTCATGTTACTGTTATTATTTCGTTTCTTCTGTTTCAGAGCGAATTTCTTAATGAACTGTAGAGGAGAATTATTAGTTATTAACGCTTCTTTTATGTGCTTCAGTTCTTTGTTTAGATTAGCTGAACATAGGAATTTGGTTCAATATAGAATGACAGACTGTAGTAAGTTCATTTATCTAGAAAAAACTTAGCTACTTCAATTCAAACATTAACACACAACCACACAATAGCGTCGATGGGATACAACCACTGTACTTAAGTCCAATATGATAAGATGGAGAGATTGACTACTGAATGTTTGTTCATCGAATCAACACCCAACTCATGTAAAAGAAATGACGCAACACCTGCACCAGAAATATGGAAAATTTTACTACCAACGAAAACAAACCATTTGAGGTGACAGAAATACAGAAATCAGATGTAGAAAATAGTGTGACCACACTGATATGATCAGGAGCAATGATAATTTATGCTCAGAACGTCATCACGTAAATAGTATTGTATCATTGTGTGTTATAAATCAGATAAAACATAACTAATACGGACTTCCATTTCCAACAAACTACAGACATTCATTACTAGCTTCCGTCTACGCTCCCTCGGTACTGAAGATGAGATAGCCAGAAAGAATAAGAAACAAGGAACTCTGGCTGGCTGGTTGGCAACGAACCAAACAACAACCTATCACTCAACAAATATGTGGAAGATGAAAGTGGAGATGGATTGGGCATACACTGAGAAGGCTGATTGGGGACACCACATGTCAGGCCAGGTGAGGTCATCGAGTGGAATTCAAAGGGGAAACGACGAGTTGGGCGTCTCAGTCGAGGGTGATATGGAGGAGATCATGTGAGGAAGAAATGAAAGCTTGTGGGCAGTGTTGGAGCCAGATTGGAGAGACTGCAGAGAAGAGAGTGGAATGGAGGTGTGCTACTGGAGTCCTATGTTCCACTAGGAACCCAAGGGAAAAATAATAATAATAATAATAATAATACGAACTTCCTGATGCCTGCCTCAAACCAACTAACATTTGTCATATCACTTATGACTGTTTTGATTTTTAATTTGTATCTGACTCAAGTTTGATATCCTTATGCATTAGTCACAGGAGAGTGACTACTATCAACCAATTCATCTATGAGAGTATAAGCATTCACCTATAGATAGTTCATGAATGAAGTTTTCAAAGAAATTAAAAACTTACTTATAGTCAATTTCTTGATCAGTGATGACAGTTTCTTCGAGTGAACTTTTAAAGCTCATAAAATCCAGAACATTCGACAGAATATCAGCAACACCTCCAGTTCCCTATCAAATAAAAAACACCAATAATAAAATGTATTTGCAGCCAGAGTGTTATTTTTGAAGAAAAAAATCCCTTTCCATTTTAGGAAATCATATTGGAGGTAACAAGATCTATGAAACCGAACTACAGCAAAGTGTTCCAGTATCGGAATTACCTCACTTCTCTCCTCTTGTTCATGCAATCTAACATAGGCAATTTTCCTTCTTCATTTTCTAATTCATAAGTCTGTATATCACTCTTGGATTAGGCTAGAACATTTTGAGTGATTCCTGATGCATATGCTCAGTTTTGATTCGATAAACAAAGATTCAGTTATCAATCTCTCCCTTCACCCTACTATGCTTATTTTAAGGATTTCCACCCTATCCCATCCTACTGTGTGGTTGTATGCACTTACATACGTAGCTAAAACCAAGCATTCTTCTGAATTCCTTATCTTACTGGGATCTACCGATTGTGAGGTAGTAGCTGGGGTTTTATGCTTGGATAGCCTAACTGGCTTGGTAAAGTGTCTAAGTAACAGGGCCGGAAAGCTTACTGGTATGACAAAAAACCAGATACTTTAAGGACACACTGCTCATCAACACTTACCGTCTTAAGTAAGTTGATAAGTTCTTATGGCATCGTAAGGAGGATATAACTAATATAAGTAACTCAAGTGCTATAAGTAGTGATAATAATATTGAGGATAATAGTGTCAATATTGGGAAGAAAGAATTCTAAACCTCTACAATATTACCATACTACGTAGGATTCTCAATAAGAGTGAGATTAGAGTTGAATTTAAACTTATAAACTCACATAAAAATAATCTTTGTAGGTTAAAAGATCAGAGCGATCCAATTAGGCAGAATAATAATTATTATTACCATTATTTGTCCCATGGGTTCCTAGTGGAACATAGGACTCCAGTAGCACACCTCCATTCCACTCTCTTCTCTGCAGTCTTTCCAATCTGGCTCCAACACTGCCCACAAGCTTTCATTTCTTCCTCACATGATCTCCTCCATATCACCCTCGACTGAGACGCCCAACTCGTCGTTTCCCCTTTGAATTCCACTCGATGACCTCACCTGGCCTGACATGTGGTGTCCCCAATCAGCCTTCTCAGTGTATGCCCAATCCATCTCCACTTTCATCTTCCACATATTTGTTGAGTGATAGGTTGTTGTTTGGTTCGTTGCCAACCAGCCAGCCAGAGTTCCTTGTTTCTTATTCTTTCTGGCTATCTCATCTTCAGTACCAAGTGAGCGTAGGCGGCAGTTGTTGATGAATGTCTGTAGTTTGTTGGAAATGCTCTTCGTAACTCGCAAAGTCTCTCGACGGTCACATAGAAACAGTGACTTGATTGACGCTAGTGTTGATAATCCGAATCTTGTTCACGCTTTATGCTGAGTACAGTGCGGTGCAGTAGATCTCCACACTGATTTCAGGTTAATGTAGGCCTTTTTTGCGACGTTAAATACATAGGTCAAAATAGTAGACCATTGTCAATTAGGCTATTCAAGGACAAAAACCTAGCTAGATCCTAGTATGTTAACAAATTCAAGAAAACTCTTGGTCTTAGCTACGCATGCAATTTCAAACAACCACACATTAGGATGAGACTGGGCGAAAATCCTTAGAATAAGCACAGCAGGGTTGAGAGAGAGATTGATAACTGAATCTCCGTTGATCAAACTAACACCGAATACATCCAACTGGAATGAGTCAACACCTCATTGGACAATTTGTCCTATAGTCGACCAATAAGTCATTTAACTTTGAGCTTTTGCTTCAATATGCTCTTTAAAAGTGTACATAAATGATGTATTTTTATTGAATGAAGTGTCTTTCTTACACTCCCAATGATTGAGGGTATTCGTACTGAGACTGAAATCTATCATTCAATATGTCTTGATAAAACTTCTCAGAAGTGAAATTCTGACACCAAAACTAACATGGTAATCACCTTAACAGATGGATTCAATCTGTTTAATTAGAAAAGTAAATACTGATCAAATTAAAGTAGGTTAAACGTTTCCTTTCAAAGATATTCTTCACAACTTTTTAACAAAACATCTTATAAAAAACTGAGAAAATGGCATCATATCACTAGGCAATTTGAGATTATAAGAGGGGATAACTGGATTAAGACTATATACGTTTAAAGCTAGTGATTTTTCAATTGATATTGTAGTTTGTTTACGTAATATTAACAGAAGATATTTGTACTCACTGACAATGGTGAATTAAATGAGTCGTAATGAAAACAGATTGAAAATCTCACATGATAACTACTTTATTTCTATGCTTCAAGACAGAATGAAGAATATTGTGATACTTATTCTTTCTTATCTATCAGTGCATACTTTATTCACATAACTTGAATAAGTAACTTACTCTAACGAGTACCATTGGACAACGATTCAGTTTAACTGAGGCATAAATCTGATCCATAGTAGCATTATTCCCGCCTGCAACTATTCCACATATTGGCACTCTTGCAGTTGTTTGACTAGCTGAATTGTTATCTTCTTGTGATATAGTTTGTAATAAATTGATATCTTTATCAACTACCAGATTTTCATTAATATCTTTTCGTTGAGTCAATAGTGATGAATCTTTAACACCTAATTCTTTCATAACTTGTGAATGTGAATATAGTCGAGTTGTCTTCTCAGCGTCTGTCCAATAAGTCCATCGTCTAATGATGGCAGTGCAACAGATGGTCTTGCAGTAATTGATGTTGATGGGAACGGTAGATTTTCTGCACTGACCGACTTTTGTACCTATAGCAGATGAGTGCAATGTAAAACCAATAAATAATTATTGTTTACTTAATAAACTTTAAATTGATCTTGTCTACCAGGAAGTTCAACTTTCCTCCTTATGAGTGTGATGAAAGAGAGATATTGGGAAATATAATCAACAATGAACCACCAATCAAACTTAGAGTGACTCTTTGAACGGAGTTTCTGACCGACCTGTATCAGAAAACACACTTCATATATAAACTATGAGCTCATTGTTGTTGCTAGGATCATTATTTCGACCTTCAAGATTATTATAAATGCTGAAAGAACAGTAGAAAAAAGCGTTTTGCTATTATGAGGATTTCCAGTTAAATATAGAACTTTCTCACTCTATTATCCATAAGTTTTACAAATTTTCAGTGGGCAATTTTGAGCTACTGATGAGTAGCCTTCGGTAATACAAGATAAACCATTTCATTTACCATAAGGATTTTAAGCATTCGCATTGATCTGCTACTAATAATGTTTCGCCTCTCAATTGTTTACTCTAATGTTATCCTTTTTTCGGTTAATTCCTTTTCTTTTTGGCTTGCTGTGAAATGTAACAAGTGAAAATGAAACAGGTTGTGTACAAGTTTCTATGTTGGTCTCTCAGCTTGGCTTTAAATGGCAGACAGCTGGAACATGAAACCTGGCAGAACTAAGTGTTAGAACAGTTTGATAGACAGAAAGTACCGATACAACAAGGTGAAAGGCAGCAAGATCGAAGATAGATAAATAAGGAAGAGAATAATACAAAACAAGATGTAAAGTCGTGGAAAGTGAACAAGAAGAAGGGTTGAAACTGTAATGAGATTCGGAACTACGAATAACATAAAGATATTGTGTGAATGAATCTGCGCTGGTGAGATCACTTGTGGCATATAACCCAGAGCCTCCAGTCACCAATTTAATTTGTTATACGGACTCCAACCTAGAAGTCTACATCTCTTCACAAAACTCAGACTAACAGGTAGGGACTTCAGTTTGGAGATTTGTGGGAGACCATTTAATAATTCCAGGTTTACACTGACCATGGACTGACATTAGTTAGAGAAATATTGGAGACCTGAAAGCACTGGAAAGCTGTTTTCTCGACCGTGGAACTCCCTAGGGGTGCTTATGCACTTATCCCGCTGGGAGTCGAGCCCAGGGCATTCAGTTCGCGTTGTCAGCATGTTACCAGTGAACAGCTGGGTCGAGGGGCGGTCGTTCATGAGAACAGTTACTGAACGACGGCACTGGTTGAAGGTCATGCTATATCGTCAACTGACAGAGGTAGGAAATATGAACCATCGGATAACAAGACAGCAGCCTAGTCCTGACGTGGTAGCAGCGGGACCTTAAGGTCCTGAGTTGGATCCCTAAGGGTGTGGAGTCATGGGTGGGCACTTCTGAGGGCGTAACAGCTGTACGGTGCCCCCAGGTTTCCAATGTTTCCCCAAATGATGTCAGTCCATGATGAATAGAAACCTGAAGTTCGAGACTTCGTGGACTGATGCCATGTACTAGTCTGGCAGCTTTTAAACGTTTTTCAGCCTAATCCTACTTCAGCTTGCACTGTACGACGCGTCAGGCAATAACTGGTATCCACGTAAACCATCACAAGAAGTGTTCAGTTTATAGAGGATAAATAGTTCACTACATATTGTATGTAATACAGCTATTGACAAGAGTAGAGTATATATACTGAAGAGTATTCACCAACTTGAACGAAACATTATTCAAGTCTCCTTTGGCTTTCAGCAGTTCTGTGGGAGATATTAGTCTATCCTGAGGACTACTTTCAAATTGCCATCTTGCTAGGTAGCTGTTTCCTCTCATGGTTTGCTTGGAAAAATGAACAAGTTGCGACTATTATTCAACTGTATTTTGCTTGGTATAACTTATTAGCAAGATGTATCTTCATTCTTGAAGGAACTGGTGTTCCCCGCAAAGGTTCCAAACTACAGAATGCTGAAGCGCAAAACATTGCTACTAAGGTATTAGGGTTGACACTGAACCCCTATAGGATTTGTGTACATAAATCATTCTTGAAATGAAGCTTTCACTTTGAGTATTTGTTACTCAGATAGCATAAAATATACTGGATGTCAGTAGACAGGGCGATAAAATTAATCCACATAAATGAAATAATTTTTAGATCTAATTAAATTCTTCTAAACTGAAGAAAACGAGACAATTTAATCAGGAATTCACTTATCTTCAAGTGGCTTTCTGTTTTACTTTAGTGATAATGGTATTCATCAACACACTCTAAATGCAAACTTTACTTTATCATAACAGGTGATTAAACCATAATAATCAAGGGGAATGAGTTGATTATAGTTCAAGTATTCCTCCGTAAATGCTTAGCTGACTGATAGTTCCACGGGAGTTATACTATAAGAGTCATTTGCCCAGCCTATGTACTCAGCCTTCATGAGCACAACCATTTTACTAGAGTTGCAGCTCATCGGTCTTATAATAGGCGAGTTATGGATTTCAGTCCCTCCCCACTTACCGAGGTTTCGGCACCCAAGTAGTGTCACTAGCTGTCATACAAAAAGCGTGTCTCATAGCTTACTGCATTATCATGAACATGGTTGTTGAATGCATTTCAATTATTCACTAGATCAAAGTCTCAGCTGTGGAGTTTGCAACCAAGATTAATTATGTGTAAGTCGAATGCATAAATCAATGAGTCACACCTCTAAAAGGTATATGTAAATCAATTTTAAACCTTAAACTTACCTTTTCCTTCATCTGTTTTCGTTTACCTGTTAGGGATTGACTGCTTGCTTTTGTTGACCCACCCTCGGACGCGGCACGTGAAGAAGGCTAAAAACGTAGAGATGAAGAAACATATTACAGATAAACATGGTATACCTATCACTTATCTGTGTTATATTCAGGTAGCAGAGTTAAATGTAGCGCTGACGTTGTCAATTAAATTCATCTACTACCTTATGATCTCTGATAGGCTACTGCAGATATTTCATTAGCGCTTCAAGTAACACTGTTGATGCCAGATAAGCTTACCTTCTATGATACTGGTGATGATAAAGCTGTTTAGTTTGACAAAGAAAAGTTAACAACCAAGTGATAAAGTAGAGAGGACATACAATAACTGACTCAATGATAATCAATTTGATTAGAGATATTGAAGGGACAAAAGAGGCATGTTATAACACTACTGAAAGAAATCAGGCTCTGAAGTTGGTCGCTATGTGTTGGATTTCTTGTTCAACCCGTGTAAAATGTAGGACATGTACTTATGACGAAATGAATGATAATGTGACCCATAGTTGTGTGAAATATTTCCTAGAAAGGAGATTAACAATAACGTGTATACTATGACATCGAATTTATATCTTATGAAATCATTTAAGATGGCTAAAGTTGGCACTTCTCAGTGATAGCATCAATCGACCCAGGAATTGTACCAAATAAACTGAAAGTCTTAACATCTGATGAGTTCTGAGATTCTCTTATGTCTATCACGGAGATGAATGGTATATCTTTTTGTAGTTATTCTGGTTGCTGAGATCGGGATTCTCACCACAATCTGGAGTGGAAATGAGTTGGTCTTTCATCTAAAAGGAACAATTGATAAACTATTCTATTTCACCTTGATGGATGAACTGAAACGCACTCAACAACCTTGGGTACTTTTATGCAGTAAACAATAAGTCGCGTTTATTGTAAGTGGAATGCTGTTCGAGCCTGTGACTTACTGGTTGAAACTCAACTGCCTAAAACCATAAGCCGTCGCTTCACACTATGATCTTACATCAATCAGTAAACCATACAAAGGTAATGAATCATTTAAACTGAAGATTCCTTGAATTTTCTGACATTACATTGTTCTATTATTCGGTTTCCACTTCTAATACATTCATTACTGAACAAGAAACCACTTCATGATGCCTTCTTTCCAACTAAAGTCTTATGATTCTAGTGTAAGGATATGAGTAAGTTTGAGTGAAGAAGCAGATGACTATGGAACTGGAAGTAAAGATTTTTAAGTCCAGATCTTTTTTGAAATTTAGCCACAATGCCTAAAGGATAGAATATTTATTTATAGGACACAACTTTATTATTGAGATTCATGTGAACGTTTAAGAAGTTTCTGATATATCTATCATGCACGTTTTTCTGTACGAATACAATATCACTTAATAATCTTGTTTGCCGTAGATGAAATGGAAAGGGTGAACTTTGTTACAGGTTGGAATTCATAATGGACTGACTTCAGTTGGAGAAGCATTGACAACTTTAGAGTACTGAACAGCTGTCTCGTCCTAATATACGATTCCTCAGCAGTGCGCACCACGATCTCACCAGGACTAAAACCCATGACCTTCAAATTCCGTGACCAGCATGTTGCCATCGAACCACTGAATCAGAACGCAATAGTCCATATTTTCTGCTTCTGTCACATCACGATATAGTGTGAGCTACATCCAATGCCCTCGTTGAGTGACTGTCATCACTTTCGACTTAGTTGACTTCACCGGTCACGACATCTCATTAAAACTTCAGGAATCATCCCCCAAGAAGCTAGTTATCACTGAGGGCTAGATTATTCTATCTGGAGTCTTGTGGAGATTTATCAATTGAGTTCAGGTTGGAGTTCACCATGGACTGACATCAGTTGGATGAACATTGAGAACCTGGGAGCACTGGACAGCTGTTTCTCCCCAGTATAGGACTCCTCAGTAGCCCATACCCACCACCCCTCAACACCAGGGATCGAACCTAGGACCTTCAGTTCCTGTGGCCATCACGTTACCATTGAACCACTGGCTCAGAATCCAGAGGTTCACATTTCCAACTTCTGTCAGTTCATGGTGAACTTTGTGTCAGAAATGACAACCTGTGTGATCTTGACTGGCTATTTCTCAACGAAAACCCTATGAACACGACTATTACGGAGTAGTTAAAAGATGCTTAATTTGCAAGTGTAGTATCCACATAATTTAAAAGGCTTCCATTCTGCTAGTGAAGCGGTTGACAAGAGAAAGGGCAAGGGAGTGTTAAATTTTGAAGATTAACGTGACCCGTCCAACTGATGACTTTTTAAACAATCATAATTTTACTCTCCCAAGATCATAACCATCTACAAAGACTGTCTATTAACAGAACACACCAGAAGTCCACCATCTGGTACAACCTTGCTGGTTGTTGCTCATAAAATGGCGCAACGTGCGGAAAAGTCCGTACACATGAATACCACCTCTTCTTAATTTATAAATAAGTAAAGGAATTAAGGTAAATCAAGTTCTACAATACATCTATCAACAAATAAAAAACCTTTGCCCATGTGATAATAGTTCGTTCCAACATGATACGTGCTTCTAACAAACGATCTTCACAGGTTTGTTCTTGTTTAGCTATAGGATCGACAAGTATTAAAAATTGATGATTTGCATTTAAACGATAAGTATTGACTTTGTTCAGTGATTTGTTTGATAATTTGTTTGAACCATCATCTGCTTGTTCGCCAAGTTTACCCGATTGCCATACTTCAGGTTCTATTGAGGTTGTCGCAGTGTTTGTAGTATCTTCAGACTCATCATCTGATAAAGGATCTGGATATAGAACATTTGACGAGACTTCTTTACTCTTAATCTGAAAAGCATTTTAAGAAACAATACCAGCAGTGAAGCATCATGATGTTTATTTGCTCGTATCAGTGCATGTAAACAATTGTAGACATAGATTTAACTGGTAAAATGCGAAAATCCTGGATAGAATAGAAGCCTGATGTTCAGGTCAGTCAGCTATCAATGGACATATTAGCACTAACCATATCTACCAATCAATAAGAAACAACCAGAAGGTCAAAGATCACGTCAGCAGTACAACAAATCAAAATAAATATTTCCATAATGACACAACCTTTGCAGAAACAACCAAACATCGACCAAGCCATCACGAAAAGCTACCAAATTAACTATAGAGAACACTTTATAGCTTACTCCTTTCTGACGTTTGTGCTAACAAAGTTGTCTAGAATGACGATGGAAGTTTCAGAGCACAGAACACCATTGAAAAAGATGCAGAAACTGTTTTCTACCACCTACCGTAAGCCTGTCAACAATAAGTAAGTTCCACCAAAGCTGTTTTATACGACTCCTTCTACTACTACCCACAGTACTACTAAGATTGATATTAATGACCATTGGGTATTGGACGATACGCATAACTAGTTCTAGGTAAAAGCTATTGGCAGCATATTTAGTGAACGACATAACCATGCTCCAGACAGGTGGTAATAACTCAATAAATTCATGTAACTTGACAGTTGCTTCAATACTACGGAGTGCCACTAGTCCTTATCAACCCCATTCAACAACCATATGAAGACGCCCCATGCCAATTGATCAACAATGCGAAGCTCAGCGACACCTTTGAAGTGAAGACAGGAGTAAGACAAGACTGCCGACCATCACTGACGATCTTTCTGATTGTGGTCGACTGGATCATGCATCAAACCGTGCGGAGCAAGAAGATAAGCATACACTGGACCGATGAGAAGAGCCTAGAAAATATTGATTTATGTCTGATGTCTTGTGTCACAAACTCGAAGATCTACAGGTAACAACCAACAAGTTGACAGAAGAGGAAGGACAGCGAAAACGGGACTTCAAGTGAACATAGAGAAGACAGAGGTGATGAAGATACTCAACCAACAACACCAACACCACCACCAACAACAACAACAGCAACAACAAGCGCCAATCACCATCAAAGGGAGAAACTTGAAAGAAGTAGCCTCCTTCACCTATCTATCTGGGCAGGGCAGCATCGTTCCAACTACAGGCGGCGGCACAGACACACACGAGGACATCAAAGCCAACCAGAATCAGAAAGACAGCAAGATAGGCATTACTTCATTAACCTGAAACCAGTGTGGAGATCTTCTGAACTCAGCATGAAGCCTGAACAATATCCGGATTTTCAACACCCATCCAGTGAAGTGAGTGCTTGTGTATGGCTGAGAGACTTGGGGCGTTACGAAGAGCATTTGCAAGAAACTACAGATATTCATCAACAAGTGCCGCCTACTCCGGCTCGATACTGCATCTCAGATGGAAGGCGAGAATAATGAGAATAAGCATGAAGGAACTCTGGCTGGCTGGTTGGCAACGAACCAAACAACAACCTATCACTCAACAAATATGTGGAAGATGAAAGTGGAGAGGGATTGGGCATACACTGAGATGACCGATTGGAGACACCACTTGTCAGGCCAAGTGAGGTCGTCGAGTGGAATCTAAAGGGGAAACGACGAGTTGGGCGTCTCAGTCGAGGGTGATATGGAGGAGATCATGTGAGGAAGAAATGAAAGCTTGTGGGCAGTGGTGGCGCCAGATTGGAAAGACTGCAGAGAAGAGAGTGGAATGGAGGTGTGCTACTGGAGTCCTATGTTCCACTAGGAACCCAAGGTAAAAATAAAAAATAATAATAGTAATCGAAACTAGTTAGACTTCTTTGTTATAGCTAACTCGAATGACATATATGAAGTCATTTTATTCAACAAAATATCCTGTTTATTATCTTCTTAGACCTGAACTCCATAGAATTTGCACTTCATGGTTGTGATTTCGTTCTTTCCGATGAAAATCTGGCCAGTGCTATAGAGATATATCATAATATTTCTCTTAACATTCATTGTCACTAATTTCTTCTGTTTATTTAACCTCAGTGAGTGAGTTGAAGGTTAACAATACAGATTACAATGGCAGTCAGTAGATTATTATGTTATTACAATTCTAGCAGGTTGGTCATTTTGGAACGTTACTTTCTTATCTCTCAAATAAAACAACATTATAGCTTGAGTTAGGCGGTTGATTAACAGAATTGATAAATGAAGGTTGACAACCTGCTTGCATTCCCACTCTCTCACTGAAGTAAATCTACTAACTGGAATGTCTGTCCATTGGATGAATTTCATAACTGATGATAACTAGGTAGCAAACCCAACAAATATATCAGCTTCAGTTCTTTCCTTACCCATAAAATAACCTTTTACAGTACTAATTTTATGTCAAATTTAGTAATTATGTCAATGTACAACTAAACCATTAGTTCATCACCTACGCAAGAGAAATCGATAAATATCATGCTTCGAATGATATACACTCAGCTATATTTTCTTACTTCAGGATGTAAGCGCTGATAGACCGATATTGATTTGAGAGTTTTGAAATGAAATCTTTAAGAATGTTCCATAGCAAGAGGAATATTGACGACTGCAACCTCTTAGAGAATTCTTAACATCATTAATACAGCTATGAGGACTATCCTTTTGATGTTCATCAAATCATACTTTTGCACGAGTCATCAATAAAATTCAGGATGAATGGGATATTCCATGCTTCACTGACCAACAGACAACATGATATAGCTGGATGATATGTTTCAGTAGGCGTAGATATACTAACTGTATATTCGTTGACAGTTTTACGGAAGTCTGGCTCATCCTAACATATGTAAGTGTCTCATTTTGTTAGATTGAAATCCAGCATGGACTGACATTAGCTGGAGGAACACTGTAAACGTGGGAGCACCATGCTGCTGTTTCGTCCTGGTATGCGACTCCTCAGCAGTGCACACTCATAACGCCGCCAAACGCCGAACCCAGAACCTTCACTTTCTGTGGCCAGCGCGTTACCATCAAACCAATGGGTTGGAATCCAATCATCCATATCCCCCCACTTCTGTCAACTCACGACATAGTGAGACCTACATTCAATGTCATCGTTGTTAAATATAGATCACATCGTGAACATTTATAGGTGTGTGCTTCACATAGTGTCTGGAAACACAAAGGTGGATACTGTTTTTTGCAATCACGGGGAAAACATAACTTATTTGAAGTTTTAGGCTTGAAAAATCTTGATAACAAGGAGATAACGTGGCTTTTTTAAGCCTAATGAAGAACAATTTTCAGTACTCAGAGGCAAGAACAGCATACGATGAACTAAAAGAGAGTTTCATTAGCATTCGCAAATAGATATAGTTTGTAAAATAGTGGCTAATATTCGCAGCTAAGATGGATGGTCTTGGTTGCATTGTGTTCTCTCAGCTGGGTTGCTCAGTCGTGAAGCTGTCATCATCTTCCTAGACGACATCATCAGCACCAAATTCAGCATGAAGTGAGTGACCTGTCAATATCTCTCCATGAGTTATTTAGTAGCTTGCTCTGGCGATGTAGTCTGTGATTGGTTGTTACCTTTGATCGTTGTTTTAGTCAGTAGGACAAATCTCGGAAAGCTGGAAATCCAAGTGTACAGGAAGCCAATACACACTAACTAAATCCTCAACTACAATAGCAACAACTCAACGTCACACAAAATCAGTTGCTTGCAGACTCTATTCAAAAGAGAAAGAACACACTGCAGCACAACAACTTCACGGAGTAACTAAGAAAATTACTTGATGTCCATGCTAAAGAAGAACGGCTACCCACGAAACTTTATCAGAAGATGCCTATCCCCTGCATCACTAACTACAAAGTCATCGACAGAAATCAACAAACGCATCGTCCTACCATACACAAAGAATATATCAGAAATCACGACAAGATTGCTGAGACCACTTGGAATTGGTGTAGCTCATAAACCAACAAATTCCCTCCAAACACTATTATGCAGACCAAAGGACATAACAGTCGAAGAAGACAAACCAAATATCATTTACAAAATCAACTAGAATAACTGTAGTCAACATTACATTGGACAAAGTGACCACCCTCTTCGCCTTCGTCTACATGAACACATTTCGTCAATCATTTCAGTGCATTTAGATAATTGTGGACATGAATTTCCACAACGTAGAAATTTTGGACAGAGGAAACACAAAGAATATCAGAGAATTCCTATAAGCTTGGCCTTCAGGTTAGTCAGTCAGCAATCAACAGGTGTATAGATACAGACCCGATCTATCAACCAATAAGAAAAATGATAAACAGAAGAAAGGTCAGAGGTCAAGCAGAGAAACAGTCAACAAGAAAATCTGTATAGTCAATGACACAACAATCAAAGGGAACAACCAATCATAGACCAGATCGTTGGAGCAAGCTACTAAATAACTCATGGAGAGATATTGACATCTCACTTCATACTGAAGCTAGTGCTCATGACGTCCTCTAGGAAGACGATGACAGCTTCACGATTAAGCAACCTAGCTCAGAGAACACAATACAACCAAGAGATATAGTTTTTATTAGTGTAAGTCAAAGTATTTTTGAAATGAAATACTTCCATTTCGCACGGAAGTTTGGTTAGGGAATAAAGATTGGAACCTAATGCTCTTCAGTGATCAAGGTGTATGGATAAGGGCAGAGATAATGACATTAGTTTAAAAGGAGAACAAAACTATTCAGTTTGACTCATTTAATAATTTAGCTATTTGAACTTAGTGCGCTTACAAGGATATTTGAATCCGATGATATGAAATTTCATTAGTCGGTCAAAGTTAACTACTCTTTCCATAAAAAGGTAGTATCCTTCGTGTTAGACAATATCCCGTGAAATATCACAGAAAATCTGCCAAAAACAGTTCATTCATAAATCAATACTCATTGAGCTGAATAGATTCAAAGATCAAGTTTACATTTCAGTAATTAGGAACCTAATTGGTAAGAATCAGTGAAGGTGAGGATACATCCTGCAGTTCCATCTTGGTT